GTCCCACTTTGTACATTTTGATATAATCATTTCTACAATGATGGAGATACTGTACATAAATAGCCCTTGTTTCCCCTTTTCAAAGAATACTTCCACCTGTGTACATGAATCATGGAGTGCACTGCTTACGCATAAATGAATGATTACATAACTTTCATGAGCACGCATCCAGTATTTTGTCTCTGTGTATTTCTCAATTTGGTCTGCAATTACCTTTATCTGCTCATGCTCAGACTGCAACTGTGAAATGGCTCTTTTGAAGTGTATTGCACATACATCAAACAAATATTTGAACAGCTTACATTTTGGGACAATTAGCCTGACCTGAATGTAAATAACCTCAGATCAGTTTTTAATTTCAAGAAATCATCTAAAATGTATACATCAGAATCTTGAATTTAGAAGTGTGAACATTTAGTTTTCATTATTACATCAAAATAAAAATTGTATAAGATTCCTTGCTTTAATCTAGTTTGACCAATTCAGGTACTGTTTGAATTTGAAAACACACAAAAACAGTTTAAAGGTACACTAGAGAAGTGACAATGTTGTAATGGTATAGCCAAAAATTATGCTTTTGATCACAAACTCACAAAGGCTCATGTTCGGTTATACTGAAAATGTGTGAGGACCAAATCTTACAAATTTCCTATCTCATCCAGTAATCTTTGGGAAATTCCATATTTTTCTTACTTGAGAAAGTTGGAACATTATACTGTACATCAAATATATGTACATGAATATTTATTCATCTATGTATTTTTGTTTAATCTAACCATGAGATTTTTATCTTAATCTTTGAAACTTCAATGGTGAAGATAGATTTGAGCACGGTTTAAAGATAAACTTGAGTTCTGGTAAAAAACGAAAATGAATTCTCACAGAATCTAACAAAACTTACACTGAATGTTCAAGATTACAAATAAATGTCATGTGCCAAACAATTTTGGAAGAAAATGTATACTGGCTGAGTAATGAGCATAGAAAGATAAGGAAATCCGGGTAGTACTAGCCCCGACACCATGTGTGTTGTCCCATATACATATTTCTGTGTAAGTGATTGTTACTTTACCAAGACTTTACCAAATTTATGATGATTTTGATGACTCCAGAACCTTGCATTACACACCATTACTTACATGCTATATGATCAACTTTTCTGATCCATTCCACACCTTTTCTTTCACAATGCAATCGCATTACCAGAACTCAAGCTTATCTTTAAATTCACCACATATTCTTTAGTTTGAGATAGAGCAATAGTAGACCCTTTTCAAGACCAACTCACCCTGTCGGGAGATGTTTAAAATTATTATAACAATATCTGTGAGTGGATTAAACCATGGACTAAAGTTAGTCCGCTTTCGAGAATACCACCCTTAGTCTTATTCATACAGGGTAACCTATCAGTGATATGCACTTTTCATTTCAAATGCCTAAGAATGTATCACTAGAGTGTTCGGACTTACTTGTTGATATCCCAGGCCAGTACATTGCCATCGAAGGCCGATGTGATGAGGAGACCTGAGTTCTGACAATACTCGATGCTCTTAACCCAGTTACTGTGACCTTTCAATGTGCAGATCTTACGCTTCAGGTTACGTATATCCCACAATGCAATGGTCTTGTCATCTGACCCGGATGCAAAGGTACGGCTGTCTAGAAACCTTTGAAGGGATATGTAAAGAGGAAAGAAAAGAAGGGTCATAGATGTTCTGTGTAATGAATTGCAGGAAACTGGTAAATTCAATTGACCAACTGATGAAAATGCAATAGAATATACAATGTCCTTAGACTCCTTAGTTAATACATGTAGGTTCATGCTTGAACTTGCAATGTGGTTAACTTAACATGCTCAAAATCTATCAAAATTTCCATCAGCATAATGGTTAATGTCGTGGTATAAATGTTATTACAAACTATAATTCAATGACTTTATACATACCAGGCCAATAACACCTGTACTTTTAGTCCAAAGTACTGAACATCATCTCAATTTTAATTTAGAATAGTTTTTACTGTTGCAATGCTTACCAAACAGTGAACACATATTTTGAGCAAGGAAATTCAGGTGTATAATTTGTATATTTTCAAAAATGCTATCAAAGATTAGTTTTTACAAGTACATGTATGAACTTGTAAAATCTAATGGGAAAATGGGTGAGATTTAGACTCCATGTACATGTACTATACATGAATATCATAAAATCAAATTGTAGAGATTTGCAAGCAAGCTTCAAGTTCAAAGTACATATAGCTTCTGCAAAGCACTCACCTGATACAGTTGACACAATCTGTGTGTGCATTAGGAATCTTGGTGATAAGTTTGGCAGATATAGGGTCAAATAACTGCATTGCCTCTCCCTCATATGCTGTCACCAACGTGTCACTGTTTTAGGGAAGGAATGAATAAACATTGCCGCATTAATATTACCGACTTTATAACTGTTACTCTAGGAGTAGGAGTGAAAAAAAGCTTACTTTTTCAATCAACTCATTATAACCTACAGTATCATTACAGGTGTTTTATTGTAGGTTTGTACAGTTTCAATTATATTTTTGAGCAAGTTTAACTACAAAATCTTGTAAGAAGTTATGCTGATTATAGTGTACATGCTCATGAAAGGACTGCTTTGTAAGGCCAACATTGCATTTTCAATCTCCTCCATCTCCTCTTCCTCCTCTTCCTCCTCCATCTCCTTGCCCCCCTCCCCTCTCTCTCTCTCTCTCTCTCTCTCTCTCTCTTTCTCTCTCTTCCTCCTCCTCCCCCTCCTCCTCCTCCTCCTCCTCACTCCTGCACTTCTTTTATATATAATTTTCCTCCTCCATTTTCTCCTCCTCTTCCTCCTCCCCCTCCTCCTCCTTCCCCATCTCCTCCTCCTCTGTTTCCTCCTCCTCCTCCTCCTCCTTCTACTCCGCCATCTCCTCCTCACTCCTGCACTTCTTTTATTTGTAATTTTTCTTCATTACCTTCATACTCTTCCATTAGAGTCAGAGGTAAAATTTAGTGAAATGAATTGTCATTCTGGATTCGTCTCGTAAGCTTTGCCTTAGTCTAGGGTACCATTTTACAACATGCAGATGCACAAAATGGGTTTACATCATATTAGATGATGTACCATACATGTTTCTAGTTTTTCTAGTGTTTCAGTGAGTGCTGTAAGTGTAACAACTATGGAAGAATGTGCATTCCTTGCCTTAATAGTTAATATTGTGCATAATTCATGATTTTTCTGTTGCTATTCATGCACAGTTGCACACTCAGCTCAGCTCAGTAAGCACATGGTAAGCGTCCATTTGAAGATCAATGTTCCTGCAAACCAGCAATGTGGGGAAAACATGGAGCTTGAGAATCTCAACATTTTTACCTATTAAAGCATGAAGCATTCAAACTTTTTCAAAGATAATAAAGTTGTGCTAAAACAAAGACAAACAGTCTCAAACATGACAAAGCAACAAATCTCCAATTAAATAATGGCAAAGAATGAAGAGAGTAAGATTTAGACAATGTTACACTTAATTCAAACAAATCATAAGTAGGCATAAGACGATGTCAGATATGTCAGAAGTGCATGGATGTATGAGTTTAATAGTAATAATAGATGGTGAAAAATCATCAAAACAAATTAATTAGGCCCTAGGTAGAGTCATTGAAATTGAAAACTCACAAGACAAAAGTCAAAACAAAACAAATGACAACAACAAAAACACTGTTTTCCTACCCAATTGGAGAAAATTCTAAATTGAATACGGCACCACATCCATCTGATGATTCTGATGAAATATTGACCGGAGTGAGATGGTAGTAAAGTCTACTTTGGATCTGATCTTGTATTCTTCTATTCGCATTCCCACACAGTTTTACGCATCCCAACTCGGACCCTGTCGCCGAGGTAGACGGTCGGGTTACTCGCCCCTTCTGGTCACCTTGAGATCCCGTTGATTTCAGCAGTGGCAATGCAAGTTGACGTCGGCGAACCCACATCATCGTAGACAAGTGTTCATTTGCATCGTTGCCTTCATGCCGAACGACGAAGCACTTCGGAATCCCTTGCCGTTCAGCCATGTAAGAAAATGTTCCAATTCAAAATGAAACAGAGCACATTTTATGTGGTAAATTGGCGAGCAATCCACGTTACAATTCCAGTTTGCAGTTACCGACCAAACGCCATTATTCAATGAGACTGAAGAAACTAACTCAGTTTGGCGAATCGCCGCACCGAGGAAATCATTAGCATGGCCAATTTGGAGAATTTACTGAAACTGGACTTAAAATTATTCATCGTTTTGGAGTGGTGGATCAAATTAGGAAGAAAACAAACATGTAAAGGTTTATTAAAATTTCTCCAGGTGGGGAGGTGGTAGCACGATTATTAGGGGGAGGAACATTTTGAAGTATGCGGGCCCCACCCTTTGCCCCCTCCCCCGTATCCGCTATTTTAACAATAATTATGAGGGCAAACTGCATATAATTCGTTGATTATTAATTATTTATACAAATTGTATGATATGTATATTATATATATTAAGTTAATGGAAGAAGGAAAGTAGTTTGTTTAAATACTTATGACCAATAAAACTAACTCTCATCATGTCCATAAAAATATCAACTCTCAGAGGCGGCAGGGGGGCACAGTGCCCCCCCCCCCCCCCACTTTTTCAAGTACCCAAAAAGTGCCCCTTTTCATAAAGGAAAAGTGCCCCTTTAACTTTGTAAGAAGCGCCCCTTTTTACATAAAAGTGCCCCTGTTACTTTGATAAGTGCCCCTATTATTTTTTCAAAGTGCCCCCTTCCCTTTCCACGTCTGATATGTGCCCCTTTTATTTTGACACGTACCTCTTTTCCCTGACAAGTTCCCAGTTTCCTTTGCAATAACATGTATTTCTACGCAATAGACCTATGTAATCGTTGTCGTTCATGACGTGATGTAGATTGGCAACTGTGACATCGGCGGATTATGCAGCTAGTTTGCGCCCAAGATTCGTAACACGGCGCGCTCGTGCATCAGCTGTGTGCGTTTGATAATTATGTAGGCTGCTATGCATGCCTATGCTACATACTGCATTACTATTGCATGTGTACTGGCCTAAAGAGACTAACTTTTTCTGCACCTTGGTCGCCATTGTTTACATTCTTATCACAAGACCTCAAATTTGTACCTGATCCATGTGTCTGTGATGTTAACTTGGTAAGCAACTGGATATCTCCTTTAAATTTAAGTTAAGCCTCAGTTACTTTAATTTCTAAACAAGAATTTACTTTTCAATCTTATTTTTTGAGATCTAAATCTAGGCCTATGAGTATGACTGAGTATGATAAAGGATCATTTCCTCAGTTGGGTGAAAGTTTTTGCAAGAGGGAAAAACACTGGCCAAAGTTTTGCGATTGTCTTTCCCTCGCCCCTGGTCATACGGTGCAGATTTTAATTATAGTTCCATACAACAAATTTATCATGAATTACAAGTAATTTAATACAACAGTGAATTACAAGTAATTTACAACAGTGAATTACTGCACTGCATGACTGACTGTAGACGGAAATAACCGTCTGATATGGCCATATGGGTCATTTCTTTAATAAAACTTACATTTGTTGACATTCAAGCCAGACGCAATCTCAGTGGAACAACCGTCGATATCAGAGACTGCAAGCTTTCGGTCTATAGACTGACTGATGTGTTTCAGCAAAGTAAACTGCCAATGGCAGTGGTTATTATTTAAGGCTTGTTTTTACATTAAACTTTAAAGATCAAGAAAATGAAGTTAATGTTGTCCAAACTTTCAAACTATGACATCGTGATTATGTATAAATTGAAAAATTCATTTCAGTTTGCTGATTATCATAGGTCGAGAGTCTTCATCTAGTTTTTTTCTTTCTAGAAAGACTAGAATTTAGTAAAGACATGAAATATGAGCTGATGTCTGTATGACTGTCTGTATGACTGTTTATTTCTCTCCATACAGTTTAAACTGACATTTGGCATATGCTGTAATCAAAAGAGTCAAGAGATGTTCTCGTCAAAGAAGTGCCTGGTCCTAATTACGTTGGTTTGTGGACTTGGTTTAGTCCTATCCTGTCAACCTCCGGATTGTGATAGACCAGACTGCGGCACTTGTGGTATGGATCCATTGCCCCCCCCCCCCCCCCCCCCCCATAATTCACCCTAATTCAAGTCACCCTAAAACTTTTTTTCTGGCTAAATAGCTTATTTCATATTATACTTTAATGAAATATTGAATACGGTAGTCTATTGATGATAATGATATTTAAATTAATTTATTTGTTTGTTTCAGCATTGACTTCATATTATAGAAATTATAATAAATCCACAAAAGTTGAGAAATTATATATTTTGTGTAGGTTTAAAGGTTTATTATTATTTCATGAATTAATTTATTTCCATAGTTTTTTTCAGCATGTTTACTTGAATATTATCTTTTTATTTCTTCTTCAGGAAATGCATGCTGCACACTAGAGCTCCTTTTCAGTAAGTCAAATATGTTATCAATGTAGACAATTTAATTTCTTTTGTGATAGTAAGATTAATTTAACAATATTATGCTTCTGTAGATGTTTTCTTCCCTTCATTTTCTTATATTGTTATAGTCTCTCATTATGTATCGTTGTTAGAGGTTGGCTAGGGCTGTACTTTTGTATTGTTAATGTTCATTGGTGTTACTTGTCAACTTTTCTATAATTGGGATGTTTGCATATATCAAGTAAATTTCTCAAGTTTTATCCTATAAGTATACCTTACCAGTCAGATTGTTGAAACTCCAATCCTGAAGTGGTATTCGTGTCAAGTATAAAACTACAAATTATATTCTCTTCACAGCTCAAAAAACAATCAGACAGATAAGTGTGCTGAAAATTTTGAATGACATGGAACCCTTTACAATAATTCCACTTTTTTTTCTTCAACTCTTTGACAAATTCCTTGCCCAGGAACATTGTTTTCAGATATATTACATTTTATTAGAACAATGTAGCAATAAAATAAATGTACATATTTGATTGTTTGTTACCACATTATCAATTCAAAACTTTTAAAACTCCTGCCCTGAAAGTTTTATGGCACATACTTGAATGACCCAATGATGACAGTTTTGTGAGACATGTAGTCTCAAGAGTATTCACTAAACATTATATTATTTGCTTGTATGTTCTCTTGGCAGCTGCTCCCAGTGAAAAGGTGTTCAATGCCTATGTTGATGGACTGAAAGGAGGTAGAAGATGTTTTAGTCATACTATTTTATTATTCAATATGAAGATTATATATTTCTAAAAACTGGAGATGTATAATGCAATTTTTATTTAATGCCTGAAATTTCTGAGAAATTTACCGATATTTGTTCCTCCAAATTATGTTTGTGGTAAAGGGGTAATCCAACGTTTGTTTCAGGCTTTATTTCATCAAATATATACACCTAGGTTTAAGGTTAGGGTTGCAATTCGGTGTTAGATTAGGTTTAAGGTTAGGGATAAAGACCGAAAGTTGAGAATCTGATCAGTGTACGAAATTGACCAGGGAGCGATTGCTGCCAGGGCTTGTGTCAAGGAAAAGAAAAGGACTGATCTATTTTATATTATTGAACTTACTTGTTCTTTATAATGATATTTTGATGATGATTGTTTTACCTGACTGCTAAGACAACATGTATATGCTTCATGCTTGTATTAAAGTAAACAACCAGGGTACCGATGGACTTGATAATGAGGACTAATTCCTTACCAAAGGGCACAAGCGCATTGACTAGGTTTCTAACCTGGGACCACCCGGTTACCTCCTTATGAATAGGAGTCATTGTAATTATAGGCTTAATTGTAAGATTCTTTTTTGTCTTTCAGGTGGTGATGATAGCCGCTACACATTCATAGGTTCGGATGACCTCAGGAAGTACAAGGTCGCGGCAGACTTCATTCTCCAGGTATCTTGTATGCTTCATATCCTAGGCTTTGCCTTCTAAAACAAAATTGTTTGATCAAAATGATTTGCAAGTCCTCAAATCAAAAACTTACAGAGTCGCTTTGTAGTTGATAGCAAGACGCTATCAGTTGGATTCAGTCAGAAATGTTATAAGATGGGGCCTTTTTACTCATCATGGAGGATTTAGAAACCAAGGACAGAATATTTGCTGAGGTTTAAATCCCCATTAACACTATGGCATGTGGTAATCAGCTTTCAAAATTACATTTTAAAAAAATATATATATACCGTATATTTTTTTTTTTTTTGAGACATCCTAAGACAAAAAAATAGCCTCTGTAAAGTTTTGATAGTTTACTTTAAAACGCAGTAGATAGAAAATTCTGCTCCAATATAAATCCACTCTTGGAAGGCCAACATTTCTATATACCTAGAACATATTACCAAATAGTATTGCTTTTCAAATATGTACTCTTTGATTTTTCATCGTAAAGCTTGGTAATAGAAGATGCAAAGAACGTACCAATCATTATGATGCTGTACCATCATACTTTTTCTCTATCACTAACAGGAAACATCTTTTTTCACTGTTTGTCACAAATTTGTTATTTAAGTTCATTGTTTTTATTTTTACCTAGGGCTGGCACCACACCAAAGAGCATCATTACAATGACACTCTAAACTTTACCTTCTCTACAACGGATTCATCCTGCCTTGTGAAGGCGTTCTCTGTCTCGCAGATAGCTGGTGCTTACTGTGATGCTGGGCAGAACTATAAGAACCTGATCGGATTAACAAAGAATTTGTGTAAGTTATCGTTTTACAATTTTTTAAAAACCCCATCATATCCTCTGCCATGAGAGGGTTAATAATATTCCGCTTTTATATAGCGCTTAATACAAATATCTCTAAGCGCTTTACAGATATACTATTACACTATTATTCCAGTCATTGGATTCAATTCTTGCCTGCACACACTGTGTGCACAATCTCCACTCCCTGAGGAGCATTCCAGCTAGGCGTTACTTGACGCTCAAAAACTGTTTGACCAACAATGACGGTGGCAACACATGGGTGGAGAGTAGCAAATGCAGGTTAATATCTTGCCAAAGGATATTAGTGCGGTGTCGGGATTCGAACCCTCGACCTTCGCATCTCCAGTCAAACACCTTAAACCACTCGACCACAACACTCCTGTGTCAAAGTGTATGAGTTAACACCCTTCTGGCTTTCATCAAACAGTATTTGGTCAGTTTTAGAGTTATTTTTCATCCCCATGTTTGTCTGTGAATGTTACCAAGGATAAGTTTTAAATTTTAACAACATACCAGTATCCCTTTTCGAGATTAAAGAGATGATGTTTTGTACCAGAGTATATATACTCCACCCATGTGTTTTGTACCCTGTATATTCCTTCACTGTTTTCTAGTGTCCACCTTTAGATCATAATTTGTTGTTTTGTCTCATTTATCTTTTTAGCCATGTCCTTCACTGAGCATGTGGTCAGTGGTTGTCCACCATCTAACCCAATCTTCAACTAACTGGAATGACCTTCAAGAGACCAGAGAAACCTTGAACTGACTGGCACAGATGGATGTCCATATACTAACTTCAAAGAATCAAAGCTAATCGTGAGCGGCCATGTTAATCACTTTTTGAGAGATAACAATTAAATATGATCCTGGATTATTTCTCTTGCTGTATATTGGTTGTATTCATGAACCAGCAAATATCTAACAAAAATCAAGTTAACTTACAAATACTAGAAATCAATATTGAAAACCACGATTACCATTTTCACATACTGTATAGGTATCAATGTTGCAAGGATGTTATTTTGGACTGCTCCCTTGATTTCCTTCTGTTTTTCACTCATGGTGCATTTCTACCAATTTCTATGTGCACAGGTAATTTCATTGTAGTCTTGAACATGTAATGTTACTTAACTATGCATATAAACTCAAAGTCGCACAAATCAAATTTCCCTAGTTCAAATCAAACTATGCAAATCACATGTTTTTTTACATTTCCTAATTATTACATTATAAGTCGAAGTATCTTTTTGCAATCGCAACATATTTTACATACAGGTATTCTGAGTTAAATGTAGTTTGATTTGATTCTCTAAAAAATTATTTTCCATCATTGCAGAAGAACTCAAAAGATTATCTCATATATTCCTGCTTAAGGATAAAGAAAGCATCCAATTCTGGTATTCTCAGGAATAACTTTGCCCAAACAAGAAATTGAATTAAAATGTAGATTTATATTTAGTACCATGGCAACTTTCCCAGGCTCTATCCCTGGTACACCAAAGACCAATACTATAGTCTTGTGCTGATAGAGTATTTCAATATGTTAGTTTAGCTTAAATTGAAAGAATATGTGGTCAGTTGATTGAAAGCAGTATTTCTAATTATCACGACTTAAAAATTACCGGTACTGCAAATGTTAGTGAGTTGTATATTTTGTGTAGTTCCTGATTACTTTGAATAATTCAGGAATTAAAATAGTAATAACTGTCTTTCATGCAAAATCAGTACTTTGATGATCATCATTTATGTCAATTAGTAAATACCGGTAATGCATATTTTCTAAAATTTGAAGATTTGTTTGACTCTTCTTATTTAGAAGTCCATATTTTCAGTTCACAGATGTAGTTTTGCAAATACATGTAACATGCAGTGAACAGGGCTCCTTTGATACAGAAATTTATAATAATTCAGAATTTTGGAGAATGTAAACTCAAAGTGATTTAAATAATAGTGTGTGATCTTTTTCAGAGCAATTATGTTTATAAACATATTAAAATTTAATAAAATTCCATGAATCAAAGATTTTTCTTTTCAATAGTACATTTATTTCACATGAAAAAACATTGTCTGACAATTTCTTTTCATTTTGTTTTCTTTGTATTTACTCTATACACTCAACACTTCTTACATTTTTGAACTTTCATCATCCAAATATTGTCCACTGCTTGTGGACTTTGTGGTAGTTCTCTTCTCCCACCCTGTTCTCTCTACATGTTCTCTCTCTTTCTCTCTCTCTCTCCCCTTCCCCTTTTCTATTATGTATCGCTCCCCCTCCCGGCCTCCCCTTCTCTCTACATGTATTGCTCTCTCTCTCTCTCTCTCTCTCTCTCTCTATCCACCCTCCCCCTTTATTCTCCCTCACTCTCTCCTCCTCCTCTCTCTCTCTCTCCCCCCCCCCCCCCCCCCCCTCTCTCTCTCTCTCTCTCTCTCTGTCTCTCTCTTCTCACAAAGATTATTCAGGTCTCAAACATTCCTGTTTTTTCAGAATTAAAAAACAGAATGGTAGTCTTCAATGTAAAGTATAAAATGTGATATTTATTTGTTTTTTTTTAATAATTATTTTAAGTAAAAAGTACAATACTGATATAGATATATAAGTGCACATGACTGTTGAAAATACAAACTCATAAAACTCTCAAATTTGTACAAAATTGTTCATGAAATGCAGCAAGATTTGTTCCCTTGACTCTGTACCACACATGACGTGATCATTCTTACGATAAAAATATAAGGCAAAATACAAAAAAGGTGGAAATTCGCCAGTTCACCCATCAAACAATGTATATAAGTCACACAAGGAAATTTCAACTGTTGTAAAAAAATAGATACATGAATGCACACAGAATGACCAAACAGTTAAACATCCATTCTTGATGCCCCTTACAGCTAGTGACACACAAAAAAAGTACCCAAATGTTCTTTAAATAATTAAAAGGAAGGAATACACCCTTTACAAATTCTCTTAGTAGCAATTAAGAGATATTACAGTTTAGTAGAAAAAACTCACTAAAACAATTTCCAAAATACCATACAAACGATTTGTCAAAACAAGTTGTAAGCGATGGGGTGTCTTTTTTTACGAATTGAACATGCCCTATATTTATCATACACAAGGGCATTTTCCAACCACGAAACGACACATTTCAAAACAACCACTTCTGCAGTTTGCTATGCTTGTCCAAAATCAACAATTTCTTTGTGACTGTAATTAGAAATATGTCCTTTAAGCGAAAAAAATGATACAAACCAATGCTCGGATGCACGTCTCATGATTGACCACAAAGTCATGGATTATAAGCTAACATGAATTAATATTGATAATGCTAGTTTTATGAATGATGTTAGTTCATCTTATTACTATACAGGTAATATTCCCTAATAAATGAAAAACTATGGCAATTATGCATGGGATGAATATTTCACTGGCAAGTTGTGTAGCTATCACAACATTAACTACAGGACAATTAAATTACCCTACTCAAACCTCTTGTTCTTGCGTCTCACAACATATCTTTGATATTGCATCAGTCTAGCTACATTGAACATTAGAATTTTGGACGGATGTGATACAATTCATAGTAAATATTCTGATCAGACTGTTTGCAATAACAATAACATTTGATTACTTCCTGTTATCATACAATGTACAGTGTGCAGTTCATACAAATTATTACATAAACAATGTGAAGCTGGTGAAAAGTGCTTAATATTGCATGAAACTACAATGTATCAAGGGATGGGTTAATTTAAGAGTGTAAGTCGCAGGAGGCAGCAATTAAAGGACAAAATGGTAAACCCCAAATGAGATATAGAAATTTCAACAAGTACAGATCTTCTAAAATGATATACCCAACCCCATGCATCTTGTACAACACATCTGATTCTGAGAACACAACAGATACAGGTATTTCATTCCTGCAGTAATCAGCATGGAGAAATTCCATATCCACAAATCCAAATGCATGGTTTTATGAGCCTTCTGACAACGATGCAGTCACAAAAGGCCTGCCTCGGCTCGAGTTTGCCAAATAACCCGCTATTTTAACTATCCTGATTGCAAATTAGCCAGTTAATTTGCGCCTTCATCAGCCCGCAGTTGCAATTAGCGGGATATTTGGTCAAGAAAACATCCTGAGAAATCTTGGTCTTGTTTCCATAATATCCCATTATTTGGGAAATAGTGGGCAAATTTGCGCCTGTTCGAGCTAGTTTGTGATGAGCGTATCAGTCTGGTGACAAGGCAATTTTGAGCTTCAGGATAATGTCCCAAGTCTGAAAAAAGCGGGTTATTTGGCAAACTCAAGCTGATGAAAACGGGCCTAATAAAAATTGGGTATTTTACTGTTTTGTTTTACTTTCAGTCTCAGATATCATTTACTAGCTAAATGCTCTTTAGTCTTGTGAACTTTTGGTCTACTAGAAAATCCTTTCAAAATGACTGTGCATATATTGTCAGGTGCTGAACAGTAAAGCAGCAAAAGTTACAGTATGTTGTCTCGCAACATGTCACATCTTCGGTAATTCTCCGAGTTAGTTCAAATTCTACTAATTCAGTAAATCATGAGATCATGTTTAACAAAAGAAAACTTAGACCTGAGAGTAACTTCAATTGTTATAATCCTGATTTTGAATATGGAAAGATCTAGAATATTTGTTTCACCAGGCAAAACATGCGAGGGTTCTTCTAATGACTTCAAGTGCACATGATTTAAGCCAGTGTTTTACACTTATAGGTGCCTGTGAAAATAGGGGTTCGTGTGTACATGACCCTGCAAATTTCATTTGAGACCCTATGCAAACAAAAAGTTAGTGTGGAACCCTGCATATATAATCCTATTGGTGTCTAATGGTTCAATTATCAAAGAAAATGGCAAAATGAAATCCTTCAACTGAGAATCAGTGACATTCAGGAATGACTATAGGTGATTCATACCTAGATCCTATGTACCCTCTTTGCACATCTCACTCTTGATTCAATCTCAGATCAGCCGATATACTTCTTCAATTTGCCATATTGAAGCTTTTAAGTTTTACTTGAGGAATAATTATATAAGCATGCAAAATTCAAAGGACTCTTTTTCCTCTGAAAGGGCCAACTCTCAGACATTCTGGTCCTCTTTTCGCACCTCAAGCTTTCAGTTCTTTCTTGAATCAAAACAATCTTGACAATCATTTTAGACAATCATACCAACGTGGTGGTTATTTGAGTAAGAACTCTGCCTGTCCGGGTCTGAATCCTCTGGTCTTGTTGATGAACACCTGATATGACTCCTTGAGCTCCTCGTGCTTCTGGACCCATCTCTCCTTCTCCTCCTCCTCCCTCACCACCTCCGTCCTTGTCTCATCCACCTTCACCTGCCATAGTTGGATCTCTTCGCGCAGCGCCTGAATCTCCTTGGCGTGGGCCTCCCGGACCTTTGCGAGCTCGGCCGCGGCGATGCGACGCTCCTCCTGCTGGGCGCTGAGCACGGCGCTGATGCGCTCTTGGGTTTTGTCCTCTTTGAGTACCTTGAGGGCGTGTGCCTTCTCCTCCGCTAACCTCTTGACGGTTGCAGCCTCCCTTTCTGCCGTCTCCCTGTTACAAAATAAAAGAAATTGAATTATCATAAAACTTTCTGAATTTTAAAACAAGAAAAAAATATTTACCGGTAGTGTTGTATAGAGCATACAAATTAATATTTATGTACACTTTTGAAAGTGGAAGTAATCACCCTAATTTAAGCTCCTTTAACTAATGTCAGCATAATCATTATGAGACATAATAAAGCTTACTAGGAACAGGGTTCCTGCACATGGGTGAAGAGAAACTACTCTAAATAAAATGCTCATTGAGTAAACTTTTTTGTTGTCTTCATAATTGAATGCGAGTCTTAGTCATCAAATTTAACTAAAATGGGGCTCCAAATTATTTGAATGATGCATAATTCCATTTCTGATTCAATAAACAGAGTTCAACTTTCAGGTCATATTCATAATCCAGGTCAAACCAATCTAACACGCAGCAGAGCACAAAAGACCTATCATTTTGCAAACCTGACCTAAAACGCACCTGTTTACCAATGGATCAGTCTAACATTTTTCTTTGCTACATTAATCACACAAATTAAAATTTTCTGGAACCATATATATGTACTTTTCCACATTCCTATTTGAATAGGAAGCTGTTAATTTTTGTTATTTTTTTTTTTCTTGATAAAAACCTGGCAGCCTGATGCCTTTATTATAATACCCTATTGGATAGTTATAGTCTGAGAAATATGTAACTCAGGATGGAATCTGTGGAAGATATATATTGTACTGTTTAAAGCTCCTCTGCACTAGTTTTGGCATGGAGGGATTAGACCTCCCTGCAAGGTCACTGACAGGTGGTGGTTATCTCAACAAATCAGCTCTCAGTTAACATAAGAAAAAGGGCATCATGGGGGATCAACGGGTACCACTAGGGCATTGTTGGCTGTATAGCAAGCGGGTAGCCAGGATTTCATTTTAGGGTCCCCCCCCCCCCTGACTACGCGCCTGCTGTATAGAGGGCGCAAGTAGTGCAGTGGGGATTTTAATAAAACCGTATCCATCTTATTAATAACTTACCCAGAGATTTCCTCAGCTGCCAGCCTCGCCTTGGTGACCTCTTCTTGCCTAGCCTTGGCTACAGCCTCTTCCCTTTCATTATCTTTGACTGCCTTTACTTTCTCCACCGTCTCTCTAAGAATCTTCTCCCCTGACTCCTTCTCTCTCTTCACCTCGTGGTGTTGAATTTTGGTCATCTCGCCTTCAACACGTAGAGCCTCCTCCTGAAAATCAACATCAATTTCATAACAAACATTTTTATCATCAACCCTCTTTCTTTGAAAATTATCCAATATTTTGCTAGGCAATAAAGATACTTCAATCATCCCTATCCACTAAATAAGCATCATATGAAACATTAATTGTTTAGAGGGACTACCATTGATATCCTCCAAAAGAAAGTATTGAACACAAATAGAACTGATTGTAGCAAAACAAAACATCGCAAAATACTTCAAAGGGAGTTAAAATTAATCTCCATCTTCAAATGGAACTTATATATTCCTCTATCAACCAATAATTTGGTCTGGAGTGATGAATTCTAAGGAAAATTTGTGACATACAAAAATCAGATTGCATCCAGTGAGAATAATAAAAGAAACAACAAATATCTGAACAAAGTGATAGACTCCAGAGTCTATGAAAGCACAGGTATATAACAAAATTACAAGAAAGAAAACAAAAAAATTTCCAAGACACTGTGTACCCTGAAAAGAAAAGGAACAATAAAAAAAAAAGAAGTCTACATGTAGTTTACTAAATAGCATACAAACCTTAAGCATTCGTTCATGAGAAATCTTGAGTTCTTTGACAGCATGTTCCTTGACGGCCAGGCAGTCGGCCTCGCACTTCTCTAGTGCAATCTTCTTGACGTGCTCTGCCTGTTTCCAGACCTCCTTCTCTGCATCAATGATTGCTTGAGACTTCTCGTGATGTGAAATGTTCTCCCATTTGGAGTGGATTCCTTGTCCAATGTCTGCAGGAGAGATGGGAGAAATATACGGCATTGAAAAAAGAAAAAAAATTAGATGTGCATGTCAGAAATTTGAGAAAATGTCAATTATTTACATGTATGCCCTTTCCTCTTATCCCTCTCTCTCCCTGCTGGCAGCTGAGGAGAGATCATATCCAGGCATTTTTCAACAAATGTTACAACATAGTAAAAAGTAGACTTTCTAATCTTCAATCCAAGATTTAGACTAGATCTATGATGGAATTTGCAAGTACAACGAAGGTCAACAGGAATGACTTAACAGTATCAACTATATTTCAACTCAACAGATCAATCTACAAAGTACTAGACCTACAATGTACATTGTAGACTAGACTCTAGACTACATCGTTTAAGTGGAAAATGTCCCTACATAAAAAAGGGTCCAGATCTAACTGTTAGACTCTTAGTACTCTTAGACTGATTTTTCAGTCTACATGTAGCAATCGCCTTCAGAAAATCAACAACACAACAAGGCACATGCAATGCAACCAACTCTTCAATTTAGATCGAGGTCTAGATCTAGATATACATCCCTTGTGTAATATTTAGGGCAGCAATAAATGATTATCAGATGAGTTTGACTCAAATGATTTGAATCCTATACTCACCTAGGATCTTTTGATGTGCATGAATCTGGACTAGAACTGGTTTTGTGTCTTCATAACGTTTTGGAACACCATCCAATCGAGGGCTGCGATCGTGAGTGATGCCTGGTTTTGTTTTGACAGCTAAAGCCATGATGAAGATCTAATCCACTAAATAATGAACTTCACTACGATTTTATCTGAATAAAGACAGGTTAATAACTTTATTCAAAGCTAAATTAACAGCTGAAGTTACTAAACAAGTGCACCAGTCTGAGCGATATGTGACACGCGGAAGGCGTAAGAACGCTACGCCGTCACACACGGCGGAAATCTTCTGGCAGTTCCAGTCGTATCAAGAAAGGATAGAGTTCTTTTCCAGACTTGTCTTAGCTTTTTAGAAACCCCGTCTTCAAAATCCACCGTCCTAATTATAACAAGACAAATATTCGAAGTGTAGCAAGTCGCTTTGATGAGTGTTGGCGATTCTGTCCGAATAATGCCAGGGGCAAACTTATCGGGCTTAGAACATGTGTGATCTACGAGTTCACACCTCCGTGCAAAAAGACGGCATGAAGAAATTTAGCTTGGGTCGTGGCCATAGCAACACGTCTGTGTGGTGTAGCTACTAGCTGCTGTACACTGCTAACTATAGCTGTATGCGGTTTGCTGTGCATTGTTTGGGTGCATTGATTCGAAGAATGAATGAAACCCATTTCTTGTGTGATTGAAATAATTTATTGTTCTGCCAGTACAGTGCAAGGTTGCACCGTTTAGTTCGGTTTACCTTTAGCCTTGCATTGGTTGTAAAGTGCCGTAATGTACTAGGCTACTTGTAGGCCATTATTAAGACATGGCCGGGGGCACATTATAATTAGTGCCCCTCCCTGGGTCAGACGCGGATCCACGGGGGGGGGGGGGGGGGGGGGGGGGGGGGGGGACCTCTGAAGTTTTTTGTTTTTTTTGAGCGAAAACAACGGCCCTCGCGATTTTCAAATTTCCGGGGGCAGAAAACGAGAAAACAAATTATGCTCACTACCCCCCCCCCCCCCCCCCCCCCCATCGGCCAATCCTGAATCCGCCACTGCCCTGTTCATCTTGTGGGACCGTCATTAAACTCCTTTTTCTTGCATAAATTCTTCGTTTATATAGCTGCGATTCGTTCTTCGGCCGGCCTCATGAGCAGGCGCGCTGGAAGCAGTTTGGGATTGGGGGGGGGGGGGGTAAATAGGTGGCATGTGGAATGTTTAGGAAATTTAATTCCTGTTAACTTTCCTTCTCTTTGAATGGAATTTTATATGTGATTTAATTCAGGTTTTTATTATTGTCATTTTCTTTTGGGTTAAAAATACAAACCATCTTTACTCCTTTACTGCTTTCCCTTTTTTTTTTTTGGAGGGGGGGGGGGGCGGTTTGGGGGGGGGGGGCAAAAATTCGTTTTGCTCACTCGCATATGAATATTCGTACCATCACACCCAACTGCAAAATACATGTATGATGCTTAAACAGTATCTTGGACCATTATTAGGCGCGTTATAAATGTGATTTATTATTATTATTATTATTATAAGAGAGAAACAAACATTGAAATCATCCCTGATAATGTAATCACAATGTAGGGGTAATATACCAATGTCTAAAAAAATGTATGTTTCGCTTTGAGGGTTCCTTTTGTAGGTGCCCCTTTTTCCCTGTGTTAGTGCTCCCCCCCCCCCCCCCCCCCCCCCCACTTTGAATGACGCTCCGCCGCCCCTGGCCTGCTGAAACCCCTGAGTTTCCGGCGGCTCTGCCCCTGGACCCCACGCCAATTTACGCTACCCTCTCAGACTCCTCCCCCCCCCCCCGTAACGCACCGCTAAATATTTTCTCACGAATTGGCCCCCCCCCCCCCCCCTCCCTCCCCTTCGCCGCTGGCTGGATCCGCTCCTAGTCATCATGGTCATGTACGCTAACTGTGCTGATATTATGTAAGTCTTGACAATAGACTACGGTTCTCAACATGGCTCATGAGATTGAATCATACTTACTTACTTACTTACTTACTTTAATCCATCGATGCTTGTAGGGCAATGCCTGTTCATCGATCATTGGGTTAAAAACATTTCCATCTCTCTTCGGGCGTAAGTCTTATCAAGTGAACATTTGTCTTTCATACATACATGTATGTTTAAACTGGATAGTGATGTGTGTGCATGGAGCAGAATCAGTTCTCAATTTGAATTTCTCTCTCCTTCGGGGTCAAAGACGGTAGGTAGATTCTTCCAGTGTTTGTCTAGTCTGTTTTTGAAGGAGTTTACTGAAGGAGCTGAAACTACCTCTTCTGGTAGATCATTCCACGAGTCAACCACTCTGTGAGAGAAGAAGAATTTTCTCACATCCAGGCGTGTGAATGATTTTTCCAGCTTTAGTGAATGACCTCTTGTTCTTTCTCCTCTGTGAAGATGTAGGAATTCTGCACCAGCATTGTATAAGTCATGCAAATACTTATAGACTTCGATCATGTCTCCTCTCCTTCTGCGATGGACAAGGGATGGCAACTTCAGTTTTCTCAGTCGTTGTGGGTAAGACAAGTTCTTCAGGCTTGGTACCATCTTAGTGGCTCTTCTCTGTACTGTTTCCAGTCTTCTCTGATCTCCTAGCCGATATGGTGACCATGCTGATTGACTGTATTCCAGGATTGGTCTAATAAGTCCTTTGAAGAGAAGTTTAAGGGTTTCCTCATCAATAATTACAAAAGATCTGCGAATCAGACACAGTATCTTATTAGCTTTGGAGACAACATTAGAGATCTGGTCCTTGAAGGAGAGTTTTGCATCAAGTAATACTCCAAGATCCCTTTCTACATCCACTTGTTTGAGGAAGACCCTTACATCATTGTTCTCCATGTAGTAGCCGTGGCTTGATGGAGACTTGCCAATCTTCAACACAATGCATTTGTCAGGGTGGAATTTGAGCTGCCATTTCTTTGCCCATTCCTGCAATTTATCTAGGTCATTTTGCAGATTTTGAGCTTCAACCATGGAGTCGCATCTAGCATAGAGTTTAGTGTCATCTGCAAAAAGCTTGATTCCCGATCCAATTGAGTCGGGTAGATCATTGACATATATCAAGAACAGCAGGGGGCCGAGGACACTCCCTTGCGGGATTCCACTGATAACTGGTGACCACTCTGATTGTTGTCCATTAACAACTACTCTCTGTTGTCTTCCGTTTAGGAATGCCTTTATCCATCTATGTATGTGACCTTGAATTCCGACAGCCTCAACCTTGAGCAGCAGGCGGCAATGTGGTACAGTGTCAAATGCTTTCATGAAGTCCATGTAAATAGCGTCAATGTTACCTCCATTTTCAAGGGCACTAGTCCAGTCATCAAGTACTTCTAATCATGACGCAGTTTGGTTCTAATAAAGACACCTGTAAACATTAACCTCCAAGCCTCCGTATCATGACTTCTACAGTAGAACCATTACCAAAATATAATATGGTGTCAGGTCTTCCCGATCAAGGACAGATGTTGACTTCGAGGGAGGATAGAACCCAGGAATAAACAGGTGCAGGATTTCCATTTTTACGCCAGATTGAAGGGCTCAGTCCCGTGTGTGCAAACTGTGTGTATGTGGCTATGAGTGCGTACATGCGTCGGCATATTTTAACTCGGTGAAATTGCTTGTCTCGTTAGTTTGACTAGGTTGTAAAGATACCACAATAGTAAATAAGAGGTTAAAGCATTGTTCAGAGAGAAACAAATAAGAAACCATGGCAACAAATCTAAGTCAACCACAGCCATTGGAGCTGACAGGAAACTTAGCAGAAAATTGGAAACGTTTCAAACAAAGATTTGAATTGTATAATGTGGCCAGTGGAATGTCAAAGACAGAAGAAAAAGCACAAACATCCATGCTCCTACATGTCATAGGGGAAGAAGCTCTTGACATTTACAATACATTCCAGTTTGAGGAAGATACCGGAGATGAGATGAAATTAGAGAAAGTGCTAAAGAAATTTGAGAACTATTGCATGCCAAAACGTAATGTAACATTTGAGAGACACAAATTTTTCACACGGTCACAACACGAAAATGAAACAACAGATCAGTATGCAACTGAATTGCGCAATAGAGCTAAGTCTTGTGATTTTGGTGACTTAAAGGATAGCCTCATTCGTGATAGAATTATCTGTGGAATTGTGAACTCCATGGTCAGGGAACGCCTATTGAGGCAAGATGATTTGACGCTGGATAAGACGTTACAGTTGTGTCGTTCTGCTGAAACTACTCGAGCTCAGGCAAAAGAGCTGAGTTCCACGGATGAAGTCTCGGTTGATGCTCTTGGGAGTAGGAGAAAGTTGTTTCACGGTAATCAAAGACAAAATCCAAGGCAAAGTCTAGGTCAACAACAAACTCAAAGGCCATATCGAAGTCAAAATCAGACTCAAGGTCAGAAATCTAGAAATAGTTGCGGTCGTTGTGGAAACTGGCATGGTCAAAATGCATGCCCTGCTCAAGGTCAAATTTGCAAAAAGTGTGGTCTTGGAAATCATTTTGCGAAGTGTTGTAAAACTCCAATGAGTAAAGTTATCAACGAGATGCAAAATCTCGAGGTCGAAGATGAGTTCATGGTTGATGTTGTAGAAACATTAGAGTCTCGTGATGAGTGGAAGGTCAAGCTAGTTGTCAATAGTAGGCCGGTTATTTTCAAGTTAGATACTGGTGCTCAGACAAACCTCCTTCCAGAATCAGTGTATCAGAGTTTGATTCCCAGGCCAAAGCTGCATCCAGCTAGAGTGAGATTGACAGGCTACAGTGGAGTAGTAATTCCAGTAAAGGGTCGTTGTTATGTACAAGTGGAGTACAAAGGTTTAACTCACAATATGGCTGTTCTAGTAACTCCTGGTGATCGTCAACCATTGTTAGGCTTACAAGCATGTGAGCAATTGAAGCTTGTAAAGAGAGTCTTGAATGTCAAAACAGAATCAAAGAATGTAATAGTAGATGACTATGAAGACGTGTTTGAAGGGTTAGGATGTGTTCCTGGAAAGCATCATATCACGCTAAAAGAAAATGCTCAACCTGTACAACATGCATGTCGAAAAATTCCATTTCCACTGCGAAATCAGCTCAAGGATGAGCTAGATAAAATGGAACGACTTAAAGTTATCACACCAGTGGATGAACCAAGTGATTGGGTGTCGTCGCTCGTGGTGGTGATGAAGAAAAACAATCAGCTTCGAGTATGTCTCGATCCAAGAGATCTAAATAGGTCCATAAAAAGAGAGCACTACCAGCTACCATCAAGAGAGGAAATAACAGCACAGTTTGCAGGAGCTAAGTACTTCAGCAAATTAGATGCGTCCTCAGGTTTCTGGCAGATAGAGTTAGATGAGGAAAGCTCAAGGCTATGTACTTTCATAACGCCATTTGGGAGATACAGATTTCTCAGGTTACCATTTGGGGTCTGCAGTGCGCCAGAAGTGTTCCACAAGGTTGTGCATAATTTGTTCGCACACATACCTGGTGTCAACACAATGATGGATGACATAGTAGTATGGGGGTCAACCCAACAGGAACATGACACCAGACTGAAACAGGTCCTTGACATAGCTCAGAAAGCAAATCTGAAACTCAACAGAGACAAATGTGAGTTCAATGTGAGCCAAATGACATTCATTGGCGATGTGATCAGTGAACAAGGTGTTCAACCAGATCCAAAGAAGGTTGCAGCCATATTGAACATGGAAAGACCACAGAACAAGCAAGATGTTCAAAGGTTCTTAGGTATGGTTAACTACCAAGGAAAGTTCATACCAGATTTATCCACAAAGTCAGCCCCGCTGAGAAGTCTTCTTGAGAAAAGAAATGAGTGGATGTGGCAAGATGCACAAGAAAAAGCTTGGTGTCAACTCAAGGAAGCTCTGACACAAGAACCAGTGCTCCATTTCTATGACAGCACAAAGCCGACGAAGCTATCAGCTGATGCATCCAAGAATGGACTAGGTGCAGTGCTACTGCAACAACATGACCAGAATTGGTTCCCCATTGCTTATGCATCGAGAGCAATGACTGATGCAGAAACTCGCTACGCGCAGATAGAAAAAGAACTGCTAGCGATGACGTCTGCATGTGAAAGATTTCACCAATACATACATGGACGACAGGTAGAAGTCGAAACAGATCATAAACCTCTTGTACCATTGTTCAAAAAATCACTCTGTGATTGTCCTCTTCGCATTCAACGCCTACTAATCCGAGTGCAGAGATACGATTTGAAAGTATCCTACACACCAGGAAAATACATGTACACCGCAGATGCATTGTCTAGAGCGGTAGATCCACAGGCAGACATGCAGGTCGAAAGAGAAGAAGACATCAGAATCTATGTAGACACAATAATGGAGACATTACCAGTCACATCAAACAGAAAAAGTCAGTTTGTAGATGAAACACAGAAAGACAAAACACTACAAGAATTGATAGGCATCATCAAAGATGGATGGCCTGAAACAAAACAACAATGTCCAGTAGCAATTAGAGCATACTGGAACATTAGAAATGAGCTGTCAGAAGCCGAAGGCTTAATCATGAAAGGCAGCAGGATCGTTGTACCAAGCACAATGAAAAAACAGATGTTGGATAAGATCCATGAAGGACATTTGGGCATAGAAAAATGCAAGAGACGTGCAAGAGAAGTCTTGTATTGGCCCAGAATAAATCAAGACATAACAGAAATGGTACAAAATTGTAACTCATGCTTGATGTATAAACCAAAACAACAGACAGAAAGTCTGAAACCACACACGGTACCAAACAGACCGTGGGAAAAGATCGCTGCAGACTTGTTCACACTGAATAACAAAGATTACATGGTAATAGTAGATTACTATTCACAATTCATTGAAGTCTGTCCACTGTCAACAACAACAAGTAAAACAGTGATAACAAAAATGAAAGAAGTCTTTTCAAGACAAGGCACACCAAGTGAACTCGTGACGGATAATGGTCCGCAATTAGCTAGTAAAGAGTTCAAAAACTTTGCACAAGATTGGGACTTCTGCCACACAACAACAAGTCCGTATCATCCTCAGTCGAACGGACTAGCAGAGAATGCAGTGAAAATTGTGAAGAATCTCATCCGCAAATGCCAAGACAGTAGACAAGATGTCTACAGGGCACTACAAGTCTACAGAAGCTCACCACTAGAATGTGGAAAATCGCCAGCTGAACTCCTGTACAACAGGCGATTGAGATCAAACCTGCCCATGGTGGACAAACTTCTTGATCCACAACACATCAATCCTCAACAGGTGAGGGAAAGGAAGGAAGGGCAGAAGGTAAAGCAGAAAGAGCGATATGATAAACATGCTCGAGACCTACCAGAACTAAACATAGGTCAGACTGTAAGACTTCAAAACATGCACAACAATCGATGGTCACAAAGTGGCATCGTCAAAGTCAAACTGCCAAACAGATCATATTTGGTAGAGACAGAGTATGGAGAGATTAGACGAAGAAACCGACGTCATCTCAGACCGGCACCCACACGAAGGGATGATCGGTTCCAACAGACAACACAGACGGACAGCGATCCAGATGACGAGGATGTTAGCGAACCAACCCCTGAGCGTTCCGGCGTACCAGCCCAGCAAGCATCATCCTACATGACCACCAGAAGTGGACGAATAAGCAAACCGCCAAATCGAATGGACTTGTGAAATAATCACAAAAACAAATTGAACTATGAACAATGAAAAGCAAAAGGACTATATTAACAAAAGCTGATAATATCAAGAAGAACTGAAAGTGAAAGTTACACTTTGCCTTTAAAAGGACATTATATTATATTGTTATGAATGTTTTAACATTAACTGTATATATGTTTTTTGTTATATCCACAGATACTTGGAAGATATCAAGATTGGATATCGTTAAGTTATGTTCAAGCTCAAGTTAAAGCTTAAGTGTGTTAATCACTGGATTGAAAAGTTATTGGAAAGAAATAACATACAAAAGAAATGTTGCAAAATATTCTGAATGCATGGTCAAAGAAACAACTCACAAAATCATTTATTTCTTGAAAAGTATTTGAAACAGATCAAAACAAACCCAACGCTCGCCATATATGCATTGTTTCCAGATTTGGAAAACATATTGAAACCAAAATTAATATCCAGCGATGTGTTCAAAAGTAAGTGTTAAAAATAATGTGTTATGTTATTTCTGTGGAAAAAGAATGTAACCCTTCTTAGAAAGGGAGATGTGCTGATATTATGTAAGTCTTGACAATAGACTACGGTTCTCAACATGGCTCATGAGATTGAATCATGACGCAGTTTGGTTCTAATAAAGACACCTGTAAACATTAACCTCCAAGCCTCCGTATCATGACTTCTACAGTAGAACCATTACCAAAATATAATACTAACTTCCTCGAAATATAGTAATATTACTTAGTCAGGCACGTAGCCACGGGGGCACGGGGGGGGGGGCACGTGCCCCCCCCCCAAAAAAAAATCAAAGATCGGTTGAACTTTTTTAGACCCCTTTTTTTTACCTCGATCGATTACATGTATGTGCCCCCCCCCCCCCCCTCCCCCCAAACATCAAACTCTGGCTAGGGGCCTGCTTACAGTAGAATATAATGAGAGGGATAATAAAAATATATATTGAGTTTTTGGGAAAAATGATTTGTGATTATGTAACAACTTGAACGAAAACTTGCCTGTGGCTTTGTCTCAGTGAGTGTCAGTGAGTGAGCGCGTGGCCCTCAGTACCTCGCTCTATACGCCTAGCCCAGCGGCCCACGTTCGTGCTGGCGATCATCTCTTGTAGATATAAATCTGTATAATTTCCTCTCTTCATATTGCCTTTAGTTATATGTTAAAATACTCTTAAGTTATGCACCAGATCACACAATTTCACCTTGAAGAAAACAAAAAAAGAAAACAGAAAACAAAAAAAGCTCCACACCTCCCCTATATGAAAAAAAGCTCCATACCTCCCCTATATGAAAAAAATACAATTTATACTATAATGGTATCCATCCACATACATGTCCATCTTCTTCTTTTTTTACTAGAACTCAACTTTCTCTTTTTCTTTAACTCGAAGTCAAAGAAGAAATCTCAATGGCAATTCTAGTGCATTATTATTTTGTTTTAACCATTATTTATAATGATCATGTAATATGGAATTACATTTTTCATTTAGGTGATGCACTAGGCTACTGAAATTTCTTTGTAAGGTTTCTCGTAAGTCCTTGCAGTATTAGATGTTCACATTCAATAGTCGACGTTTCTGTTATCACCCCAAACCACTCACCATTCCCTTTCCTTTCATCTGCAGTTTTATCATCTATCTTTTTTGCTTCTCTCTCTGTGTCTTTGTACCCTCTTATCCGCAATAGTACCATCAATCTTTGTCCCAAGTGACCCCCCCCCCCCCACCCCCTTTCTCTCTGCACCTCTCACTCATATTTCCCTCTTTAATCTCTCGTCTCATAATCATGATTTGCCGTGCATAATTATGTTCGTGAATTATTAATGATCCTCCTCAAAATGCAGTCACGAATATCGTCTTGCTTATAACAGAACAACAAAATTACTCAAACCAATAGACAACAATAATAAGCAAATTTATAATAATAATCATTTAATGAATTCAAGGGAGACTCTTGCTGTTGGAAACCAAAATAAGAATGAGGAAATCTCTTTAATCGTAAAAATGGTTTGATGAAGCAATATTATTGGAAAATGTTATGTTTATACTGCATGACAAAGAGCAGGCACGTACGCAGGGGGGGGGGGGGGGGGGGGGGGTCGAACCCCCCTATAAACTTTTGTGTGTGTGTGTGTTTTGAAGGAAACCTCCCCCCTCAATTTTTTTTGGGACCAACCAAAAAATGTCCTCTTACCCCCCGCTTATTAAGCGGCTAGCCGAGTCGTTGCGAAATTTTCGGCGTGATTTTCAAATTTTAACCCCCCCCCCCCCCCCTTCGAAAAAATCCTGCGTACGCGCCTGACATAGAGCATGTAGATTTGACAACCGTGTTTTCAGCCCATAATTTTGGAAACTTAGCATGAATATGGATTACATGTACATCGATTATAAACATGAAGGTACAATTCGAATACTCAATTCACCAAGGGTTAGATAAAGACACTTTTCACCAAAAAATAAAACAAAACAAAACAACAAGGAAATTAAATAAAACCCTTAACCTGTGCCCGATATTGTGGTCTATAAATATTCAAATGACTCGTATTTCCTTAGAATAAATCAATAGATAAAGGTAAACCAACGCTAGGTATTTTGTATAGACTTTAAGAAAGCATTCGATACTATTGATCATGAAGGACATTTACCACATTCGCCGCGTTAATGGAGTACTTTGATTTTAATAATGAATCCCATGTATAGAACAAAAGGGAGAGAACATTTATTGCTACGATTACCTAAATGCAGTACGACACATCGAACTTTTTCAATTTCTTTCACTGGAGCAAAGCTGTGCAATAATTATTTGCCCATAAAAATAAGAAATGAATCATAAGGATCAAATAATATGATATTAAGTCAAAATAAATGTTCCTGCTTAATATTATTGTTGAGTGTTAATATACATATACTTTAATATGAATTTGCATACCGTGTTAGAAACTCGGAAAACCAATCCCGACTAGCACTCGTGCTAACTTTTGGTTCTCCCTTTAACAACATTTTAAGTTTTTAAGTTTCAAATATCCTTTATTTGAATCACTTATACACTATTGGAACTCTGTAAATTTCAGTTCACACTTTTATGTATCTTTAAGGAATCCAACCAAATCTCTACGCATTATTACGTTATGGCTAATTCACAGGTTTGATATGTCATGATGTATGATTAATTTTGCACATAATTATTATGGTTCAACTATGGATATTTTCTTTTTATTGTAACTCATGTATGGATACGTATACGACATGAACTGTTTAATTATTGTTATTTTGTTACCCACCTGAATACATTTGTAACATTGAGTTGTGTTGTGAATAAATTCAAATTTAAATTCAAATTCCCTGTGCTATTCAATATGAAGAAATATAAAATTATACATAATATTCTTTGCTTCAGCTCGCGCTCGACTACAAGGTTTGTCATTCATGCTGTACATGTATTAGACATACATAAGCTTACCCCGAATCATCATCATGCTTTGCCATTACCATCAGTGTTTTTAAAAATGTTTAGCCGAATCTTTAGAATAAGAAATCAATTAAAACGTTTATATTTACAAGTAATCCGTCCAGAAATGAGAAATTCATGCTGCTACACGGAGCCACGAATGTTATACAGTGCTTTCTGATTGATCGTCCTTGTTAGGGATAGGACACACTTTATGCAAAAACTTATCCCTTAGATGCATCTAGTTTGTTATATTTACTGCAGGGGGTTTTGTTCGAGGAGTGGGGGGTCAATTGGTTCTGTTGCCTTTTCTGGATATGTCAATTTTGGCAAATTATATTCCATCAACTGGTACGAATACGCTAATATTGTATTTGGTGATAATTATGTGGGTTACAATGCGATAGGCAGTATACTCATCGCTTCATTTTCTTATGAAGTGTGAACAGTAGAACTAGAAAGGTCAATTAATATATTCATTGGTCGTAGACTCCCTGGACTCTCCGAAATATAGACCAGACTGATTAGCTCCTAAGTTTGTGCCAGCCTGTAACTCCATCACACCTCTATTAGCTGGTAGCTTTGCTGTCGATCCTAAATCGTATTCAATCACAGGCAGGCCTTTTCTTAGTTGCTTTAATTTCCTGGCAAGCCCGTCAATCCCACTGATAACCTATTGGTGACAAACAGAGAATGTGTTTAAGAAAAAGAGGACACTTGAAAAGAGATGCAAAGCTGGTAGGCTCCATCATCAGCACATCACTTCATACCAGTGGCGTAGACAGGTTCGTACACCTGGGGGGATGACTCAGGGGCGGATCTAGCTTTTTGCTAAGGGGGGGGGTTGACCAAAATAATGACGATGCGGAGCATCGTCCACGAGCCGCGAAGCGGCGAGCCGATTTTTTTTGGGGTGTTTATTTGAACCCCGTAAGTGATGTTTTCCTGGCATCTATTAACACAATGGAGACCATAAAAAGCAGTGCATGTTAACGTCTTTTTAAATCAAGTAACAGTTAAATACACAGTTATATCCAGAGTTATCATGTGTTTGGTTAAGTTACCAGATGAGTTGAATATCTTCTCACAATATTTGCACTTGAAAGGGTTTCTCTCCAGCGTGCGTTCTTTTTTCTTTCTTTTTTTCTTTTCTTTTTTTTTTTTTCCTTTTTTTTGTTTTGTTTGTTTTTTGGGCCGCCCAAGGGGGGGGGGGGTTAAACCCCCTAAACCCCCCCCCCCCCGTAGATCCGCGCCTGTTTAATCTTGTGGTTATCTTGTGGTTTCCAAACCACAAGATAACCACAAAATACTTGTAAGATTTTCTTTTTATTTCCGTCTGAATTGGCTTTCACCGTGTGAATGCGGCTAATAACAATAAACACAATTACAATAATGATGAGGATTATTATTATCATCATCATAATTATTGTTATTATTAATATTATAATTGTTATCATTATTATTATTACTATTATTATCATCATTATGACTTATTAAGTAAGCAAATATCATTCCCCAAAACCTGGGGGGGATGATTGTACATGCCATCCCCCCCCCCCACCTTGTGAGGTGGGGGGATGCATCCCCCTCATCCCCCCCGTTGTCTACGCCCCTGCTTCATACCACATTCACACGTACCCCAACTCTCTAAAAAAAAATCGAGTGATCACGGACGTCACTCCTCTGGAGAGTGAAAATGTAGTGAAAATATAGTGAACATTCACTCTTTTCTTCTTAGAGAGCACTCGAAAATCAATCGATATTCACTCCTAAACAAGTGATCACGGACGTCACTCCCAAGAAAGTGAAAATAGAGTGAATATTCACTCTTTTTTTTTAGAGAGAGAATACATACGGGGGTGTGCCGCTCTAATGGGCAACTTTTTCACACAAAAATCTAGAAAATTGTGAAAAATGGGCCTTTATTTCGAGAACCCCCCCCCCCCCCAAATGACCTTAAAAATGGGTAGGGGTTTCGAGGCTTGAGCGGTACACCCAAGTCCAACATATGGAAACGTTGTATCATCCGCTCAATCTGACTTGCGTGCATAGAGCAAATAAGCATTTTTCCATGAAAAAGTGAAGTTTTCTAAAATGTGCGTTTCTTTCCAGCATTGGGGCGCCCGGAAGTCACTCGGGAAACATTTCATAAAGTATAATATAAAAAGACCATATGCAATTTTTCTGTACTTTTGCCGGAAAAAATACATGTATCCAGCACAATGTCGTCTCTTTTTGCGTTGGAGAAGAGCAAATAGCGAGTTTTAATCACACTTTGGCCGCTCTCGCAAGCTCTCACTCGTTTCACTGTGGTCAAGAGATTTTGGGGCAAGCGATTAATGAAAATACTAATCGTTAGCTTTCTTCTGGTATCAAACTTGTTTTGATTGATTGTATAATTTTGTCGGAATAAAGGAAACAAAAAGGCTCGACCAATAACGTATCAGCGTCTGAATTTACCTTTTGACCTTGAATTCCCTGATGCAAGCGCACTAATGACGTCATCTTCGCTAAATCGGTGTCTTTTATCGTAAAATGCGACTCTTTCACAATGTTTATACATTTTTTTTTAATTATTAGTAAGATATAACATGTTTTTTCTGATATCACTGAAGTTTGGGGTTTTATTTAATGATTAATTTTAAAATAAGACCCAATTTACTGTTTTAATTTACTGGATCGTACCATTAAAGTCGCAGGGTAGAAAGATGCATTTTCCAACCGCGCAAAATTTAATTTACGTTCTGACATTCTGTTAAATGGGTTCGTGTTGTTAAGAATCCACTGCTTTCTGCTCCAACAAACGTCCACATGCGGAGTCGTTTATCAACTAAATTATTCAAATTTATGGATGCTTCCTAGCTTTCCAGGTGTTTGTGTTGCTGTTGAAGCATTTCATTCACCTGCTATCATTCTTTGTACTCCAATTGCCAGAACGCAAATTTCATTTTGGTTTTATAGTTTCATCGGAGTCGTTTATCAACTATATGTATTCAAATTTATGAATGCTTCCTCCCCAGGTGTTTGTGGTGTTTATGTATTTCATTCACCTGTTATTATTCTTTGTACGCCAATTGTTAGAATACAAAATGCGTTTTGGTTTTATAGTTTCATGCAATAAGTAAGTCAATAAAAGAGTATGTTCTGCACAATAAAAACAATGTGTGTCCCTATTGTACAATGTAACGTGTCCCCTCATTTTGTAATAGTTAATTTACCCATTCACATAATGGAACTACCTGCCCGATGAAGCCAGTGCCCTGTGACCCCTGAGCACTCAACACCGTGTGGGAGTCAGTTCGTGGTCAAATTCTTTTATGAGACAAATACCAGCAAACGTTTCCATATGACCAAATCTGAGTATTAAATACAACTTTCACATCAAAAATAAATTATGTTTTACGTAAATCTCAGTAGATACTAAACATCAATATATTAACAATATATGAATCAGATGTTATTCCCTTTCTGATATATTTTGATTTGATTTTTTTGATTTTATTTTATTTCTGCATTTTTCCAAATATATAACATAACTAAATAACATAGGTATAATACAACATATACAACAATAATTTCTTCATGTCAATTTTTTTTTTAAACATAATATATGTACATATAATAACGAAACTTAATATTTCCATAACATATTATCATAAATTTTATTATCCGAACTATAATGATGGAAAAGTGCAGGAGACCGCAATCATAAACAAAGCTTGACAAGGATGGCGGCCTCAAAAAAAAAAATCTTAAGGTAAAACTTAAAATGAAAGAGTGTTTTAAATCTTTGCAGTTTTGTGTTGTTAATATTAGATGTTCACATTCAATAATCGACGCTTCTGTTATCACCCCAAACAACTCACCCTTCCCTTTCCTTTCATCTGCAGTTTTATCATCTATCTTTTTGCTTCTCTCTCTGTGTCTTTGTACCCTCTTATCCGCAATAGTACCATCAATATTTGACCCTAGTGACCCCCTCTCCTTTCTCTCTGCACCTCTCACTCATATTTCCCTCTTTAATCTCTCGTCTCATAATCATAATTTGTCGTGCATATTATGCTCGTGAATTATTAATGATCCGCCTCAAAATGCAGTCACGAATATCGTCTTGCTTATAACAGAACAAATAAATTACTCTAAACAACAGACAATAATAAGCAGATTTATAATAATAATCATTTAATAAATTCAATGAAGACTCTTTCTGTTGAAAACCAAACTAAGAGTGAGAAAATCTCGTAAAAACGGTTTGATGAAGCAATTGGAAAATGTCATAGATTTTATTATAAACCGTGAGAAAGTGAATAAATAATAATAAAAACACAAACCTGACGCCAAAGAATTTGTTGGCTCTATCTCGAGCTTGACTGCACAGTTAGTCAATTATGTTGTATAAGCCTATTACATAAGCATACCTCGAAGCACCATCATGCTTTGCCATTACCATCAGTGTTTTGAAACATGTTTAGCCGACTGTATTAGCATAACAAATCAATTAAATAAATAATACAATCGCTCTAGTCTTTCCGAAATTTTGAGCAGCCTGTGAAGCTCCTTTGTTTGAGCCAGTCTGTAGCCCTATCAAACTTTCACCAGCTCGTAGCTGCTCCTCGTTTGTTTTCCTACGCTTCTTCGGGACCAAGCCTAGGCAGGTTGTTTCCTAGTTTCTGTGATACCCTGCCAAGCGCGAAAAGCGCATTGACAACCTATTGGTGACAAACAGAGAATGTTTTTAAGAAAAAGAGGACACTTGAAAGGAGATGCAAAGCTGGTAGGCTCCATCATCAGCACATCACTTCATACCCCAGTCACACGTACCCCAAACCAATTCCACATCAACCCCAAACCTACACACCTAGGGCATACCAAAGCGCGGATCCAGGATTTCTTAGGGGGACCAAATTTGAAATTATGCCAGCAAAATATTGGTACGTAATGTGGTGACACCGGCAGTGGTGAAATGAGCAAAAACGTGTTTTGTTAATGTTTTTTTTTCTTTTCGGGGGGGGGGGGGGGGGAATCCGCATCCCCCCATTCTTGCATGCAGGCCGCGCTGAACGTTTCTCTAAGTAGGTGGGGTGGTATTTACAATCAGGTAGAGCGTAACGTAAATTGGCGTGGGTTTAGGGGCGAAGCCCCGCGGGGGATCAAGGGGTGGAGCCCCCAGAAGTTCAGGTGGTATAGCCATTTACTAACGGTCAGGTGAGCATATGTTGATACCTTATTTGTGACACTGGCAGGACACAAATGGTGTGGGGTCCAAGTGGCGGAGCCCACAGAAGCTCAGAGGTTTTATACATTAAATTACCGTCAGATGAGCATATTTTGATACCTTATTATTTTGTGACACTGGCATGTCACGAATTGGCGTGGGGTTCTAGGGGGCGGAGCCCCGTAAGCTTATGGGTTTATGGCAATAAATTACGGTCAGATGAGCATTATTTTGATACCTTATTTGTGACACTGGCAGGAAACAAATGGGTGTGGGGTCCAAGGGGCGGAGCCCCCAGAAGCTCAGGGGTTTTAGGCATTTCATAACGGTCAGACAAGCATACAGTGGCAGGGCCCCTGGCGGGTTCGGGTTCCTCTCCCTTTCCTTTTGATGGGGGGGGGAGGCAAGGGCCTTTCGGCCCCCCCCCTCCGATACACACGTTTTTGGCGGGATTAATCGCAACTGTTCCCCCTTCTTTTCACCCTTTTCTTTTCTTCTTCCTGTTTTTGTTCCCTTTTAGCTCTCCTCTTTCCCTTTCCCTCCCCCCCCCCCCCACCCTTTGGGGGCGGGGTTGGGGGAGGCAAGGGCAACTTGTTGGCGTGAAAATTACAACTGATATCCCCCTTCTTTTCTTTTCTTCTTCCTCTGTTTTTCCTTCCCTTTATCTCCTCTTTTCCTTTTTTCTTTCCCTTTCCTTCCTTCTCCTTTTTGACGGGGGGGGGGTAGGTAACAGCTAAGGGGTAAGGCCCTTTCGCCCCCCCCCCCCGATCTCCTTCTTTTCCCCTTTTTCTTCCTCTTCTTTCTTTCCCTTTCTCTCCTCTTTCCCTTTCTCTCTCTTTTTTGCGGGGGGGGGGGGGGCAGGGCCCGCTGGCCCCCCTGGATCCGCGCCTGCATACGCGTACCCTTAATAATACTGAGTGGGGGCGGGGGGAACGGAATGAGAAAAGAAGAAACCTGGGTCCCATTTCACAAAACTTGTCATCAGTGACAAAATGACAGTTTTTGTTACAAGCTCAGTAGTGAAATCTTTGCCTCTGATTGGTTATCAGCAGATTTGTCACTGATTTTTTTCTTCTTCGTTTGTCATTGAAAAAATGCTTTGTGAAGCGGGTCCCTGGACCCCTTCCCTGACCCTCTTCTCATTATCAAGCATAGCCTTGAAAATTCGCATTTCACTTTCCGAGTAAAAGTGGTGCCCCCAATCATCCATGTGCCCCTCAATTGATGGACTCATGATATGACACTGCTCGGAAGGCCACTTATCTTAACTACCAATTGAGAAACAATATCCAGTATCAGGGTCGTCGATGCGAGAGGGGGGGGGGGGGTCGGGGGTTTTGAGGGCGGTTTACCTTCTCGAAATGATTTCAGGATCTGTGTAAATTATGAAGATGTATATCGAATCTGGTTTAGTAATAGAGATAAACGAAGGAGAATCCTAAAAAATTAATCGTCAATCAACATAAATCTTAAATAATTCAACTTTATCTGTACTTCAATCATAAGCGGACATTGGCTAAAACCGGTCCGCAAAAAAAGGCGCAATTTTCGGTGCCAACACTGCACACCGGCTCGTTAACTAAAAAATAATCAATCGGCCTTCGAGCCAAAATATTCGACCGCACTGCTAAAAAAAGAAAACTACTAAAAGGGGTCCCTAAAAATGACCAGTCCGCTCCTAAACTATAAATTATGAACATGGTGGGTGCGAGGAACAAGGGGGCTATCGCAAAAACCCTGTATATGGATGGCAATTGTCATCGTTGTCATGCCTGTGTTCATTCTCGACATCATTGTGTTATAGGGCGGCTGCGAAGTCAGCGGGATGGAAAACAAGGGCCACGTTGTTACCACAGTCCGCGAGAATCTCCTCCACCTGCAATGGAAGGAAGAAAGAAAGATGGAGTGACGAAATGTTATGGTGAGAGTTTCCCATGTCCTTTCACTGGCGGATGTATAATAGGGGGACACAACCGGGTCATGCCCCTCAACCGTTTTTTTTTTTTTTTTTTTTTTAAACAATAACCCTTTTTGTTTTCTCTGCCCATTATAATTGTTTAGATTGTGCCCCCTGCACAAAATCCTGGATCCTCCTATTGTGTACATCCTTTCAAAAGGTTTAGTAAATCTGGAGGTTTTTTTCTTTCTCTTTACCTCTTCAGAGGGACTTTATTGTTCCATTTCAAAATATATATATATATTATTTACAAAACAAGTCAAATGAAACACATGAATTATATACAAGATCAACATAATTTCTTAAAATTATCATTTTAACATTTCTAATACTTTCTTTACTTCTTCATTATCGAAGTTTCTTATATTTTCTTTGTATTTCAATTAACATTTCAATAATGAAATAAAATCATTTATTATACCTCTTTGGATTGGTTGGTACTTCCTCAAAGTTCCGCTTTACATAGTCTTTGTATATAACCAGTTGAGCATAATTTATCAAAAAATTAAGTAAAGTAAATTTTCTGTTATCCATTTTATATCCAATCAATAACATTTTCATATCAATTTCAATTTCTATTTTAAAGATGAAATATATAATTCTTGAGATAATTTTCCAGAAAACTCTTAATTTCTTGCAACGAAATATAAAATGTTCAATAGTTTCTTTTTCACGACAAATTTCACATTCGTTAGACTGTACGATTGTCCATATAAAGAGATTGTCTTTAGATGGCAATATTCTATGAATCAATTTGAAATTATATTGTTTGATATTGTTGTCTCTTATCTTATTAAATTTGAACTGAAATACATCTTTCCAAACAAATGTCTCTGGTAGGCCTAAAATATTTTGCCAGAAATGGATACCAATTTTCTCTTTTTTTCTTTTCTAGCATTAAACTATAGAAACTTTTTGCTGTAGTACATTCAACGTTTATAACATCTAAAGTGGTCTCACTATGATGTCCATAGTTTCATTGAGACGTGAAGCTTTGTTTAAACGTAGGTATAGATGCTCGGGCATGAGGGGGTTGATCTGAGCGTATGAAACAAAACCGCTCCCCTCAAACTTCGGCGCATCGAAAATTTAGTAACGCCAAAGGTATATGGTGTAGAAACAAAAACAAGTCAGTGTGGATGATGCTGGAGGGTGGGGAGGGGGTGCAATTGAAAACACATAAATTAGAGGGCGTCTCAAATGAGAGCGTAAATATTTATGGATCCTGAAGCATGATCGGTATTGGCCAGAAGAGGGGGCGCAAACAAAAACGTCTTCTGTCATATTGCACACATCGAGTATGAAAAAAAATTGTGCTCTAGAATTTAGACCAAAAAGGCACCGGGAAATGTGACAATCTTACTGTGTTTTTTCTATTTAGATGTTACTTATGAGACCCCCCCCCCCCCCCCCCCCCCCCCCCCCCCCCCCCCCCCCCCCCCCAAGAGATCGATATAGACAGATAGATAGATAAATAAATGGGTTTCATTAGAATCTTTGTGTCTGGCAGTTAAAACTGAAATGAACACGAACTACAACAACAATTTCTAAAGAACATTAACATATTAATATGAGATAATGCATTGACCCGTCTCTATTCTCTAATGATTAATGGTGCTCTTTGAGACAAGAACGGGAGTGTCGTGGTCGAGTGGTTTAAGGCGCTTGACTTGGAGATGCGAAGGTCGAGGGTTCGAATCCCGACACCAGCACTAATATCCTTTGGCAAGATATTAACCTGCACGTGCTACTCTCCACCCAGGTGTTAAATGGGTATCCGGTAGGATGCGACCGTCATTGTTGGTCAAACAGTTTTTGAGCGTCATGTAACGCCTGGCTGGAATGCTCCCCAGGGAGTGGAAATTGTGCACACGTTGTGTGCGGGCAAGCACTGAATCCAATGACCGGGGTAATAGTATATTTGTAAAGCGCTTAGAGACATTTGTATTAAGCGCTTTATAAAAATTAAATATTATTATTATTATTATCGTATTAGGTTTACTCACCTGGGCAGAGGTGACGCTGACAGAGATTGGTATCATATTCATTTGCGTTAGCGCCCAGTTGACCAACTCTCCATTGTTTGTGATGCCAGGTACCAATTGCCGAGAAGGGATACCACTACGTGCTACCAGTCCTTCCGAATCAAACTTCGTCACCTTTTGTAAAGACGATAAAGGAGAACAATATTACCTTGAGCGGACCTTAAAGTAATACATCCTCATGAAATGTCAAGACTTTTATATTTCTACCTTGAACTTGCAATTCATTTGCATACAGGTGGGTCTTTGAGTTCTTTATAAAAGAGTGAATGGTGGCAGTGCGGAAAAAAGAAGGGAAGATATTCCATATTTGGGGGCAGTAACTATACACTCACCCGAGAGACGTTGTCAGAATACTTAATAATGCAGGGGTGTCGGAACTTTCATATACATTTTCGAACATAATGAAAGATCTTTCTTTCTCCCCAACTTTCTCCGCCGCTCTCTCTCTTTCTCTCTCTCTCTCTCCCCCTCTCTCTCTCTCTCTCTCTCTCTCTCTCTCTCCTCTTCTACTGTGGGTGATTCGATCAGATGGGGAGCAAGACCCAGGCGCGGATCCAAGATTTCTTAGGGGAGGGGGCCCAAGTTTTTTTTTTTTGCTCCCGAAAATTTGAAAATCGCGCCGGCCGAAAAGTCGCTCAGTGGGGGGGGGGGGGGGGGGGGGGGGGGGGGGGGGGGGGGGGGGGGGGGTAGTGAGCACATTTTTTTTTTTGGATCCTCAAAAAAAAATTCAATTTGCACCCCCCCCCCCCCCTTGAGCGCCAGGGGGGAGGCCCAACCCCCAAAAAAGGTAAAAATCACGTGATTTTACATGATTTTTTCTCAAGGGGGGGGGGCCCCCCCCCCTGGATCCGCCACTGGCAAGACCCCATGCACATCGCCCCCCCCCCCTCTCCGTCCATAGCTACACTATTGGATGGGAGTGCACAATACTTACTTCGTTACCTACAAGAGTCAGCCCGAGCTTCTTGAGATCAATAGTCGGTTCCTGCGGTCTTGAAATGTAGCTCAGCACCCCATGAGGGATCTTTTTGACGGAGAAAGTCACCTTGAACAAAAAAAAGGGTAAAAAAATAAATAGAAAGCTTGTCCCCAAAAAAACTTTAACAATCATTAAATCCGTCATAAAAGAGAATTACTCACCTCTCTTGCACTCTTTATTTGCAGTCTTTATCCACACCCCTTCCTTTCTCTCCCTCTCTCTCCCTCTCTCTCTCTCTCTCTCTCTCTCTCTCTATCTATCTATCTATTTATCTATCTCTCTCTCTCTCTCTCCCCCTCTCTTTCTCTATCGCCACAAAAACTAAAAACACAAATCATTGCTCACCGTCTCCCCCTCATTAGCTTGGATGCATTTGGTGGCTTCCTCCACCGAGGACACGGCCTGGTCATTGATCATGAAGACCTCATCTCCAACCAGCAGCTCAGAAGTGCTCGGCTCAACCCGGAATCCACTGATGCTGTTGAATATGAACACATTTTCATTTTTAAATTTCACCTTTAGATTTTTATTTTGAGCGACGAATCATAAGCGACGGATGGCGGCCTCCTGCACTTTTCCACAGATAGTTAGGATAATGCTTCGAATTCATAATACGATATCATATAAATTATGTATACAATTATGTAAATCATATTGTGACATGAAGTTATTATCAGGGTTGGGCGGTAAATACCGGTAAATAACGTCCGGTAAATAAGATGGGCGTCCGGTAAATATGTAAAAAAACGGGAAATATGATTTTAATTCTCTTTTTATTAATAATTTTACTTGTTTTTAGCCTCAACAAATATAGTTCTGAAATAATTAGCAGCACAACACTCATAGTAGAAACACACAAACAAATTTATAAAATCCACACTGCATACATGTACACAGTACACCCAAACACATTGCATTTTGTTCATATATGCTAAATAATAGGTATTCATGAATATGGTAATTAGCAACTGACTTAATAAAGGGAACCAAAACCTTCATACTAAGTTACTTTTATTGTAAGTTTAAGATAATTGAATAAAATCAGTGAAGATGTGAACAAAATCGGGAAAGGAATAAGGAAGTTAAAGCTTTTTGAAATGACTAGTAACTAGAGGGCGATATTCAATTTGATGACATCATTTGTGGCCTGTAGTGGACAACTCTCCATGCCTTTTGTACATCAAATTTCATGTTTTTCCTTCTTTCTTTGTGTTTGAGATAATCTACTCCCCTGAAAGCAAGGTATAGAATGCAAAATGATATTCTACTTCACATATTAATAAGTCGGATCAAGAACACAGATAAATACGAAGAAAACTAAAGAATTGTGAAATTTGATGTACAAAAGACATGGAGAGTTGTCCACAAATGATGTCATCAAATTGAATATCGCCCTCTAGTGACTAGTCATTTCAAAAAGCTTTAAATATCTTAAACTTTACAATAAAAGTAACTTAGTGTGAAGGTTTTGGTTCCCTTTAATGAAGAACATCGTATCTAGATTAGGTGTATATTTGGGATCTTTTTCCTGTATTTCATGATAACAGACATAGACAAACACACACACACACACACACACACACACACACACACACACACACAAACACACACACAAAAAAAAATAGTACACACCAGAGCAACCATACTCACCACCAATGTTATTATGTTCAAAATTGGACAATCCCTATGAACAAGTGAGTGGAAAAATATATTTCCCGGTATTTCCCGGTATTTCCCGGTAAAAAGTGGTAAATACCGGTAAATACCGCTTATTTCCCGGCGTCCGGGAAATAAGCCTCCGAAGCGGGAAATATGCCAACCCTGATTATTATTGTATGATACCTTACGTTTGCATGTTCTTTGTTATTCATTTATTGTATTTGGAAAATGCAGAAATAAAATGAAATGAAATAAGATGAAATCATAATTATGTAGAATAGGAGAGAGGGGCAGATAAATAGATAAATAAATCGAAAGGCGAGATGGATCGAACCCACAGCCTTTAACAAAAATGAAGGTTAAACCATTCGGAGGCTACACAACCTCTATAACGTTTGACTCTAGCGTGAAGCATAAATCAAAACCAAAAGATCATGGGTGATTACTGGTTCTATAGTATTACCAGTTTTTTTATCTCTATACATATATAGGCGAAACATTTTTGATTGGATCTCAGTAAGCTCTCGAGCTTTCGTGGGTAATCCTGTTCAAGCTGACTTACTTTTGATCTTTTATTTTTGTATAATGTTGTATGTTGGAAGCTTGTCGAATAAAAATCAATCAATCAATTCACATCCTTCTAAAAAGCAACAACAACAAAACAATATGAAACAAATAAACGCAATGATTATAATATGTTTATGGGCTGCAGTTATTTAGTCTGCTCCCGCTTAACTCTGGCAGTGTCCAATCAAAATGCTGTAATTCAGCAGACTCTACAAAAAACTCCTTTTTTTAACCCATAAAAACAGTACTTTAAGTGGCATAAACACCATTCAAGTTATTGACACTGACTCACTAAACGATATCCTTAATGGTGGACAGTTTCAAAGCGTCCTTTTCTAGCAGGACGTCTTTGGCAATCTCGACAGCCTTGGCATCATGAGACATTTGTGTACTGCGAAAGCTCCTAAAAGAACAACATAATGTGAACATGCATGAATATCATATCATTAAAGCTAATCTTGAGCTCTGGTATGGGAATCGTATTTTGAGAGACAATTGCTATTATTCATTCTGGCTTGTTTATCCTGCAGTAGATAGTTGTTTAAACAAATGAGATAAAAACACACACAAAAAACCTCATGTAAATAAAGGTTTATGAAAACTATAGGGCCTATGTCATAAACATTTTCTTTCGATGATATTGTTGTTATTATCCCCTTTAACCCAATGATGATACAATAACGATAACAATTATTATAACCCATATAATATTATTGTATCAACGCGGAAATGAATAGTCAATTCTTAATTGATCTCTCACATTCATACAGGAACCACTAATTTCAAGGCTGTTATTGCGATGTATTGTTTTGACGACGCGAAGCGAAAGTGAGATTAAATTAAATTACTTGGCTATAGTGCCTCATTCAAATCGTATAATTTATCAACACAGTGTATGTGTACGATTGGCAACAGGCACAGGAAGTGCTATGAAATATTAATAGGTTACAGAATGCTAAATGAGGAAGTGTCAAATATCAGTAGAAAAGGGTAACTTCTGAAAGTACGAATTATTGAAATACCTTAGCAGATAAGCTTTGATATTGATATATTTGACACACAATGCAAGGTTATCATGTACATGAAAGATGTATAGTTAGAGAATAATTTTTTTTTACCATACCGTGACTGCTAAATTAATGCATGTATTCATGATAACAGGGTTCGTTTTGAAGGCATTTCATCAGGGGCGTAGACAACGGGGGGGATGAGGGGGATGCATCCCCCCCCCCCACCTCACAAGGTGGGGGGGGGGTGGCATGTACAATCATCCCCCCAGGTTTTGGGGAATGATATTTGTTTACTTAATAAGTCATAATGATGATAATAATAGTAATGATAATAATGATAACAATTATAATATTAATAATAATAATAATTATGATGATGATAATAATAATCCTCATCATTATTGTAATTGTGTTAATTGTTAGCCGCATTCACACGGTGAAAGCCAATTCTAAAACAGAATAGAAAATGAATGTGATAATTCGTGACAGAGAGTACCATACTACTATCTTTATAACAAGTATTATTCAAACAAACATATATAATTATGTATAATCATGAATTGTTCAACTTCATGCTCCCACTATATGACTATTGTTACACTAATACTGATATCAGGACTGACTGTTATACATTAGTTTGTTGTTAAGCTTGCAGCAGCTACATCTTTTCTGTATTGTTAACCATTTATTTATTTTTGTTTTATTTAAGATGCACTTTGTTTTGTATTCATTTAAAGTATGTTGATTGATGCATGAAGACATAAGTTTGAAATGTTTAAAGAAGTTTGTTTCATGTAAAGCGCAGTGTGAATTTACCCTGTCTTGAAATGCGAAATAAAAGGAACCTATTAGTATCAGCATTATTATTTGTATTAGTATTATTTTTTATTTGTATTATTATTATTATTATTATTATTATTATTATTATTATTATTATTATTATTATTATTATTATATTATTATTATTATTATTTTTATTATTATTATTATTATTATTATTACTATTATAAGACTGAGATCAAATAGATGTAAATAATGCCCTAATTTGAAACGATGCAATGCCGTTATGGTTCCGATTTCTTCACAAACTTACAAAGCAGTATTGTTACTCCATGGATCATAGTGATACTGTTTATGTTTTTTGTATCTGTATGTTAATGAGCCGCCAGCCAATATCCATCTATGGATACTATGCCTGTTTCTTTGAGGTAAAAAAAAGCATAGTATGTACGTATTCATTATGCTTTATAATGAACAGACATATTGTTCAAAGTTTAATCGTTATTTATTTGTTGTTTATATGTTCTATTCACAAATGGCCACAGAGGCTGTTTTCATTCATAACCACCCCTATCAAGACAACAAAGACTATACCTGCGTGTACACAGTTGACATTGGTTTTTTTTCTGAAGAGGTGTAACAGCAAAATTCATAGAGATAAATAAATACGTAGTGTGGTTCAATATGCAATACTATGTGTCAGTCCATTCTGTATTCGTATGCCACGGTGTGTAGATCTTGTCGATGTATGTCTGTCCATTCAAGGCGTAGTATGTGTGTGTGTGTGTGTGTGTGAGTGTGTGTGTGCACGCTTGTGTGTGTTATTTTACCTCATTAAGTATGCATCAGATTGCACGATTTCAAGTTCCAAATTTCAAAAGCTCCCTACCGTGGGAGGGGGACACCCCCCTCCCACACCCTCCCCCGCTCGGTCGCTTCGCTCCCTCGCTCGGGCGCTTCGCGCCCTCACTAGCGTTGGCAGCCCAGTCATCCCCCCAGGTGTACGAACCTGTCTACGCCACTGCATTTCATAGTCTCCTACACAAAATCTTATTCTCTTTTCAATCAACTTCCAGGATTCCAAATTTCCTAAAAGTTTAGCATTGCTAATAACCTTGTTCTCAGCGCGAGCCATTTTTTAAATAAACCTTATCTATCAACTATCATAATTTAGTCGACAAGTCTAAATAAAATGACAACCTTAAATAATTGACCGACAAAGGTAACATGAATATATCAATTATCATGACGTTTAATGAATGAGACTCTCAGTGGTAAAGCTTACTCGAATGGTTGGGGGGGGGAGAGATAAAGAAAGGGAGAGGAACAAAAGAACGCCAAAGGAACAAAAAAGGGGCCCCTCTTACACTTTTCCTTCTCGATCATTCTGTTCCTTCGCTTTGCATCAATACTTCCTATACAGAACAGCGTCCGCCGCCCCCCCCCCCCGTATCTGGACAATTATAATCTTTAACAGAATTACTTTATCGTCGTTGTTCCGTTGCAAGCGAATGGAGTGGTATTGCATGAAGAGAAATTAAGTTTATGATTGAAAGTCACGAAATAGAAATAACTACTAAAAGAGACTACACAGTGTAATAATTATTAAGCGATAGGCCTAAATAAACTCCCACTTCACCACTCTCCAATGAATGTGACAGCCAGCCAATTTATGGATGAAAAATGAAAGCAAAAGAATTACCATTGATTAGATTTTTAATCATAATGTATTTATGGAGCAGTCTAGTTTTAGAGTAATGTAATTTTGCTTTCATAATTTTAATTGATAAATTGGGTGACTGATAGCATTTAAATGATATTTCAGTTTCAATACTTAGGGGGTTAAAGGGGTTCTTATAACAGTCCTACAAGTTTACACTTCGTCTTAATTTGGTCCAGATGCAAATTATTTAGTCCCATTGGTCAAAATAATATCCGAATATGGTCAGGTTTCACTAGATCACTGGAAAATAAGATGAATGTAAAAGTAGGACCAATGCAGTATGGAACCAACTGACGGTATAACCATGAAGCAAGGCCGCTTAGGACCACTGATCAAAGGACAAACAAGTCTAGGGCGTATGGACAAAAGAACCAAAGAGTCCGATTGTACACGGTGAAACTTTTAAGTCAATATTAAAAATGTGCATATTATACATGCCTTTTGTGTAGTCATAGAACTCACCTGACTAACTGATAGACTTTCTCATTAGTTTCAGCACCATGTTGTTTGACGGGTGACGTTTCTGAAGAGCTTGAAGTGGCTTCCCCCGGACTCGGCCGCGCCCTAGCTTGTGGCACCGGCGGCAACGGTGGTAAACTTTCCTGCCTCTCATTGCTGCTGTTTCCAATGATAGACCTTGGCTTAGAGTTTCCTCCAGCAGGTAATGGTGGGGGCATCTTCAAAGGCTTCCGCCGAGACTTTCTCGCCGGCTCCCGCTCTGGCGTCTTTACCGCCTTGACTGGACTCTTCGCCGGCGATACGTTCTCCTCTGTAGCACTTTTCGTCTCAAGGGTCGGCTGCTTGAGCTCCTTGGGAATCGCTAGAGGCATCTTCGGCGGAGTTTCCGGGAGCGGAGGTTTGGTTCGACGAGTTACAGCGGTATAGCGGGGCTTTTCAGGGGAACCGTCGAAGGGGCGCGGCTTACTCTCTTGCGCGTGTTTCAGACTCTCGAGGAAGTCAGATGAAATGGCTGGTCGATCGTCCACCGCCGCTGGCAACAAGGGCTTCGCTTCGGGCAACAACGGCTTCGCTTCGGGCAAACGGGGAACGTTCAACGGTGAGGTCTTCGACAATGAAAGCGAACTCCCATTCGACGGGGCATCCTCGACCACATCAGCGTCAATGGTCTTCTTAGCAAAGACACTGGGAAAGACGTACCCATCCTCATCTAGATCGGCCTGCTCGGAAACGAGTCCATCTTCTTCACCGACATCGGAAACGATGGGCGGCGAATTGTGTTTCGTGGTTATCGATGGTGAAGGCTTGGTACCCGTCCAAGAGCATCCGTCATCGTCGGTAGAGACAGAACATCGCATCGGTTCATAGTCCTGATACTGGTATTTTAAAAGGTAATCATGACTCACTGTGAATGACTGTAAAAATAATATTACATCAAAGCGAGCTTGTAGAATAATTAAGAGGATTGTCTGATTTTTCACTTAACATGCAAACATGTAATACATGTACGGTTCACCATGGGGAATCACTCAGGGACTTGTTTATTTCCTTGCTGAGATCTAGTAACTTGACAGACACTTTGTCTTTTCCTTAGGTGTTTGGTGATGAGATTGCTAAAGATAAGTTACGTTCATTACCATGATCACATTTTGTTTCTCACAAATCTTGGAGATCATTACTATTTTGAAGCTTTATTATAAATCTTTGTGGATTTCTACAAGACATTAAACATAAAACATACTTACAGGCACCGTGTACACGTCAGACTGGCCTGACGCTTTGCCACCCAGGGAAAGATTGTCGTTGTCGAGCGTATCCTCTAGAGGTATCATCGGAGGTCGTTCTTGACTCGGTGACCGTTGCTCGGGAATCGACGCCATCGTATTCGTGGTCGTTGAAGCTCGATCGCCAAGTGCTTCTATGATGTCATTATACCACAAGTCACGTTGCGATCTGTTTTAATTTATTAAACATAACTGTTGATTCATAGTTGTATCGGTTGGTAAATTGCCATTTGGTCCAATCAACATAAATATTATGGTCTTACACTTAATAATCCGTTAGAGCAAATCATAATCGGACCAAATGGCATTGGACAATATGCCAATATGCCAATAAACCGTTTCTTAATATTTTCTTCATTATCGTCTGTTGGAGCCGGAAGAGGTTTAACTCTGCGTTAAAGTATGACATGAGTTAACGATTTTCTGGCTCAAAAGACACAGAGACGATTATATTTGTGGTCATAAAATAAGTAAAATGGAAACAAAGTCGACGACTAAATGGCGTAGCATCAAAGGCACACCCCCCTCAATCCAATGGCGAAGAAAGAGGGTGACAAGGGGCAGATGGGAGAGACAAAGAGTGAGAAAAGAGATTGGATAGAGAAATAAGTGAGAAGGGAAGGGGCGGACAACATAGGCAACATAATCAAAGAGCATACGATCAAACCCACGCCATCTAAAATCTCGATAGCCTTGATTTCTCGCATTTCCTCCTCTTAGTAAGACAGATGCCTGATCTAATGACATCATGCAGGGCTCCTTGCTGGATCCACGCTCCGCTACTGCAATTAAAGAGTAGATTACTAAAGGAAACTGCTAAAGGGAGCTTTTGAGAAAGCTAGTACCTACCTCCCTTCAGCTTTCAGAAACACAATCTTGTCGTCCTCTGCTTGGATGCCCAGGTAGTTATCGTTTCCCGCGTAATCTGTGCCCTTCGACTTGAGGATGGGTGGCAGCAGTTCGGTCGTGCAGCCGTTGACAACCATGCTGACCCGAGGTTTGCCTTTGTTGGACATCTCACTCCGATGTCCCTGCATGATCACAGTTCCGCTGGTCCCCTGGCGGAAGCATTTCCAGTACATTGGCGACAATTCGTATGCTTCCTGATGATGCATAAAGAAACACGAAAGTAATCTCTAAAAAGACGTGACCCGACAATATTATTGCTACGGGATTTTCTTCGCCAGGGTTGTAGGGAAAGGTGGCAATTTGTTTCATGGATAGGGTTATGGTTAGGTTCATGTTTAGACAGACAAATCCGTCTGCTTTGTCCAGGATTGCAGAGAAAGATATTGAACGCAGATCAATGTCTTGTCGTTTAGATAGCTTTGATTGAAATGCTAGTAGGTCCACCGTTCTATATTGGGCCCGCCGCCCACCATCATTAATGTTATGGCAGACTAATTATGATTTTATTACGTTAATCAGACCAGGTTGCAGTTTCGTACATCGGCACGTACTCCAACTACTGTATGTCAAAAGACTGCCGCCTAATTAGTTTCAGGAGAGTATCCAGGAGTGCGATAGAAATAATGAATGGCCAGATATGTTTTTCTTTCTGAAATATTGCAGCCCACCCCCCTCCCCCTCCCTGCATGATTTTCAGAAGTCCCAATAAAACTCCTATGAATTGGCTTTGTTCAGGGTGGTGTAAAAAATTGTTCCCCCTCCTCCCTTTAAAAAAAGAATACAATAATAATCTGACATACCTTAATTACATGTGCCTCCTAAAATTATTGTATCCCTTAAAAATGTAGACCCTAAGAGGCAAGTGTAAAATATGAAAAAATAAATTGTCAAAGATTTTGAGACCCCCCCCCCCCTCCCCCTCCTCCCCTTCAGAATCCTCGACCCGCCCATGAATATAATTATGGTTTACGACATACCTTTTGCAGCAGAGTCTTCTTTTTGTAATTAAAGCAGGACAAGACTCCACTTCTCACTTGAATATCTGGTGCCTTGTTTTTCTTCGACATCGCTTCTTCTTTATCTCTTAATAATTAGTTAAGTTTCTTTGGATCACTCTCCAAAGATTATCAGTTGTCTTCGATCAATTACACCTCGCTCCGGAAGGTATATGGATCCGAATCACTTGATCTCGGCTGCTCTCGATCAATAAATATTCCACCTCGTCTCGTTCAGAAAAGTTGATGTACCCGAATCACTTGATCTCTCTTATTCTGAAATAATCCCGCTTCGTTCAGGAACGTAGGAGGATCCGAATCACTTGATATCACCTGTTCCCAATCAATTCCTCCTCGTTCCGAAAAGTGGATGGATCTAAAGCACGTGATGTAAGTTGTTCCCGATCAGTCCCGCTCGGTTCCCGATCACTGTCCTGATCTAAGCTGTTCCGAATCAGTAGCGCCTGGATTCCTGAAGGTAGCAAACTGGGTCCAAATCACTTGGTCGCGAGCATTCCCGATCAATTCCGCTCACTAGGTCTCGATTAGAGTTGGATCAATCTGCTTCACTCGACTTCGCTAGCATGATAGGGATAAATGTAGCATTGTTCTTGATCAGTGTGGATCAAGTCGGATCACTTTTCTCTAGTGTTTCTTACTAGCGATTCCGCCTATAATACTGGATCAGTGTGGATGAAGCAGCATCACTCGATCTTGAAAACTCAGGATCTATGCCTAATCAATCTCAACCATGTTCCTTAACCACTAAGTATTGGTCCTTGATTATCCGCACACGATCAAGCTAAGGCTGTGATTTGATCTGATAACATTTAAATCGTTCAATCTAAGTCAAACCCGATCAAATGTGATTCGATAATGTGTCCAAAGATTCCTTTAGATACATGTACAGCCCGGGTGTACGTCTCAGATCGATTCGACTTCCTCCTAGTACTTCTCGCTTACAAGACACAAACCAGAGAGGTTAGTAAAATACATGTATGTCGCATACAATGCTTCACCAACAATTTGTCGGGTCATTTATGATTGTGAATGGAGGCTGAATGGAGCTGTAATGCTGTGACAACCAGACAGTTATAGTTTTAACAAAATTAACGAGTAATCAAAACCAAGGCTTTCAAAACTAATATTCTGACACATTAATTACTTATAGGTTTTTCATCCTTTCAACAGAATCGAAAGTTCTTCTCTTTAGCTACAATTATATATGTCAAGTTTAACTTCCGCCTCCCTTTCACTCAGATCGTCTGTTTGGTGCCAGAAGGGTATTACCTCATATACTTTAACGAACAGTTAAAGCCCTTCTGGCTCAGAATAGACAATAATATAATTATACTAGAGATAAAAAAAAAGACTTCCAACAAGCAATATCGAGGGAAAGACGCAGAGAGGGAGTGAATCTGGGTGAGAGAGGGAAAGAATGAGAGAGAAAACAATGTACGTGTGCGCGTTTGTGTGTGTGGGTGTGAGCGCGTGGGTGTGTGGTGGCGTGTTATTCTAAAAAAAAAGTGTCTAGCGTGTGTGTGTGTGTGTGTGTGTGAGAGAGAGAGAGAGAGAGAGAGAGATGTGGGGGTAACAATAGAGCCATCTTCTGGCGAATCCATGTTCAGAAACGGTATTCTATTTTTTATTTCAAATCTTGAAGACAGTACTGATTTATTTTTTTCAACATAAAATTAAAAACAGTTCAAAATTTGGGGTAGTTTTCAGAAGAAATGCATCCTATTTAGAGTTTATTTCAAGAGAAAACATTACATGTACAAGACACAACAAAAACTAATATCTATCAATTGGTAAAACAGTTTTTTTCTATCGTAGATAGAGATGGCACTTTCATTAACACACTCTCAATTGTAAATTTGTAAAAAAATTATACAAGATGTCAACGAAAAACTGAGAGCTTTTTGTCCTTCGTATTAACCAACATTTCATACAGGATAGAAATTTAATGCAGCGGAGTGGGAATCAACTTTTTAAGAGTGGGAATCCACACGGGAGTCATATTAGGGATCACTTCCTTTGGAATTAATTATGAAGTTTTCTCCCCTTATTCACTTTGAATAAGTATGAATATTTATTCTGTCATTTTGTTTTCCACGAACGTTTTGTGTGATAAAAGTATATGATTGGAGTATTAGGCCTATGAAGTATCATACACTTTTTTAAAATTAAAAACATATCCTAAATAGAGTTTAATTTTAGAAAATTTGCATTTTTCAGGGGCATTAGCAAAAAATATATAACTGAAGTGTTCCTGGATAAATAACATGAAGAAAAGGACTAAAATCATTGTATTGAAATGTTATTAAATAAACAATAATAAAAGAATTTTTAAAAACATTACAAATTTTAAAACACAGATGAAATTATTATACATCCAAGCCCATTGTAATAGAACAATATAAATGTATTTATGATTTTATATAAATCAATTAGCTGTATTAATAGGTATTTTTAATCTGATATTATTCAAATCCTATACAGTCTGTTATAAGGATAAAAGATAGACTTACTTTAACAAAGGATATATTAATTTCTTTTTCATTTCACAAAAAGTGCGAAAACTTAAAAGTTTACTAATAAGTTTGTTATGATTGCTCTCCAAGGCATTTGAAAATATACAATGTATTACAATTGAAAGAAACAAATATATCGTTATGTTATATTTGCACAATTACAATACCTTTTTTGTCTTCATTAATAGTAGGGCACATGGGCATATAATCAACAAAACCAGATATAAAGAAACTGAACAAAAAATGTGATATCATTTACAGTATATGCACTATTCCCCTCTACACTGTTATCTTGGAATACATGTTAGTTATAATAATAATAGTAACATTTTTATGGAATATAATAGTACGCTCCCAAGTGGTCCACATTGTAATTATTATTACAGCTGTCATTGGATTCAATTTCTAAACCACACATCTGACAAAGAAATGTACAACATATAAAAATATATGAGATTAAGTTTATCCATTTATGCATTGTTAGTTTTTGCAATTGGATACAATATTAGAGGGACTGGCTAGTGACATAGATAATTCTGTATGTGCATTTGTATTCATATTATATAGATATTTATTATGATTTATAACCACATTATATGTAAATCAATATATGATTAAGAGTAATAAAAACAATAATTATCAATAGGTTTTGCCAAATACTACTACAAATAATTCAGGGCATACAAATAATCATAAACATATTTAGATATTTCAAAACTAAAAGCTATCAAGCCTTATAATTGAGATTCCCTAGGTCTTATTTGACCATAATGTAATAAAAATAAAAACCTTCCTAAACCTGATCTAATACAAAGGATACATCTTGAATATATATTGAAGGATAAACATGTTTATATCAATTACATAAATGGAGGGGGAGGGGGCCTGCTATTGGGCTCAAGAAGAGGGGTAAAAAAAATTGTCCACAATAAATTCTATAAATGTTATATGCGGTATATGAATGAACATAATACAGATATTGACATAAAATAAAACTGTTTAGTAACCCTTATTTTTATAGTGGTGCAGAATTAAAGTTTGAATAATACACAAAAACTCAGAAGAATTTAGAATAAGCTGATTCTTTAGTGGTGAATTTACATGTGTTTTACATGCCATTTCTGATTGTGAGCAATTATAGATATACATATTTACACTGCTTGAAATAAAATTGGAAAAATTAATCACCATTACAGACGAGAGGACCTAAGATTACAAAATCAACTTTTGAAGTTCTTTAGAGACTGATTGGCATATCGATAAGAAATCACCAGACATACACTTGGAAATAATATTTCTATGTTACGTACATCATTAAAACTTCGAACAAAGATTTTCCAGAATAGTAATGGCTTTCCTTCCACTGATAAACAATTCCTTCAAATGGTTTGTATGAGAAAGCGTATCTTGCCTAGTTTGTAACACTCGCAAATAAATTTTCCTGTTTAATAAAATCGTTGCCCCTTCATATCTTTCTAGCTTCTTCATCTATCATCTAACACAGATGAAACGACACTTTGATTGATCTAATCACATCTAATCAATTTCTATTTGTTATTTCAAGTTTTTTGCAAGCCTGCTTTTTGGATAGAAGATGAATTTCAGGCTCGATTAGTCCCCAACTGCACTGACAGGATCATCATTGTAAAATTGTCACTTTGTAAGTAAGACAATTTTCCATGAAAACACTAGCTCCTTGTTTTAGGGGAAGTAAAAACGAAACCTTTACATACATGAATATTACAGCCCTTTTCACTAGATCTACTCCTATTAAACTAACTACAGGGATCATAACCTGAGCTTACATTTCAATTCACAGAATACTTCTAGTACTGATTCACAAAAACCCTGGCACGCCATGCAACAAATGCGGCAACCGATTCATTCACTTGAAGTTCTTTATTTTACTAATTAAAGTATACCAATCAACAGAAATAATTTTGGTTTGTATGTTAGTAGTTCCATGTTGCAAAAAATGAGCTTCAAATATCACTTCTGTAAAGAGAATTTGCAAGTTTAGATACACTTTCAATTACAATTAAGGCGCCTAGTGAGTAGACTACTAAACGCACCTGTGCATGGCAATTAACCAAAGTCTGTCCTGGGCCCCATTGCACAAAACTTGAAGTCAGTGACAAATGACAGTTTTTGTTATAAGCTTTTGATTTTTATTGCTTATCAGCAGATTTGTCATCGATTTTTGTCATTTGTCATTGAAAAGAGGCTTTGTGAAACGGGTACCTGGGTTCTGTGTGCGCAGTTTCAAGTTATATTTTATTTTCTTCATATTCCTCATCTGTTAGCTCATAAGTTTTCGTAGGTTGATTTTACACATTCTACTTACACACAAATTATCTTTCAAGTGATTGGTACACTTTAAGACACAGGGCCTAAGTCATGTTTAACGAAGGGCAAAGCAAGAGCCTGGTCTAAATCCTTTTGTTTAACTAGAATTTAGACCAAGTTTAAATCCAGTGTCCGATTGAACTTTAGCAGAACATGGTCAGTCTTTTCTTTGGTGGTAAAAGTCAGTATGTACACTACTTTGAAGTGAACAAAGTCAAATACATATATACAATAAATCAAAGACAGTTTCAATAGGATACAATGACGTAAACGTAAGTGCAATTGCAAGTTTGATACAATGACGACGGATAGTCAACCTGTTCAAAACGTTGAGCCACTCCCGCCACTCCCGCCACTCATCCTCTCCAAGCGCTATAGTTCTCCTTAGAACTATAAGCTAAGAAAGATAACCAACAGTCTTTTTCAAGACTACACAAACAGTCCTTTTCAGGACTACACACCCTCAAGAAAGATTACCGAGAGTCCTCAATCTTCTCTCTCTCTCTCCCTCTCTCTCGCACATGGTGCACCCGCAAGCCTACTGTATATCTACATCACCATGCAAGCCAACACTTACAAGCAGCATATAATGCTTATAAGCTCAGCCATTTGACAAGATCTTAGTTTATTTTGTCAAAAATGTTGAAATGTTCAAAAGCAAAAATAACTCTGCTGTCAAAATTATCTGCATTCAGAATTATCTGCATTCAGAATTAACTGCATTCAGAATTATC